GACCCTGTGATTTGCTTGGGCCTATGGAATATAAGCAGAAAGGACAGGACGCCCGAGCCACGGAGAAGACAGAGGAGGCATTACACAGTTCTGGTAGCTCTCTGGCTTTTTACTCCGCCACGAAAGGGGGAGCTGTCAAATAGGGGCTGCTTCTCCAGCCTGAGTCCCAGAATAAGGCCTGAAGCAGCCGCCCACGCACAATCACAATACAGAGCGTAAGAAGAAATAAACATTCGTTGTTGTATGTTACTGAGATCCGCGGGACATTTATTACCCTAGCAGAGCTGACTAATATATGCCCTCATCAGCTCTCTGACCAACTTCATCTCCTAGTCCCCCTATTCACTCTGCTCCAGCCATCATGACCTTCCTGCTGTTCTCTCAAATGTGCCAAGCATATTCCTGCCCCGGAGCTGTCTGCCTCCCCTCTAGAATGTAAGCTCTAGCAGGGCAAGGCTTTTGCCTGTTTTGTTCACTGCTGTATTCCTAACAGCTAGGACAGCCTCTGGTGCCTCAGAATTGCTCAGTAAGTATTTGTGGTGGTGGTGGTAGTGGTGGTGGTGAAGGTACGTGTGTATATGGGGGTAGGGGGAGTCCAGCTGGTGCCCAGAGTGTTTTGAGTGTTTTAAGTCAAATGCAGCTGAAATAGAATATGGAGAGGGGTACACTGATAAAGAATTTTCTGAGAAAAGGACTAGGTCCAAGATTTGAAATTATACTAAGGCTGAGAGGAGGGCTGGAGGATGCTTGACCGGCTGGAAAGTTGGGTCAGAGCCATTCATTGCAGGATATTTAAAAAGGAGAAATTCCCAAATGTCAGAATCATAAAATGCTGAATAAATCATAAAATCCTACCTTTCTAGGTAAAGACAATGATTTTAAATAATTTCATTTGTAATGAAACACAGTGAACAGTTACCACTGAAAGCCAAGGGACAGTCTTGTACAAAGATTACAAGTGTGAGCACTGGGGCCAGACTGGGTGGGCTCACACCCTGACTCTACCACTCACACTTTGTGCATCCCCCTCATGCAAGGTTCCTGGCCTCTGTTTTCACCATATAAAATGGGGATGAGGATAAAAATATTCATAAAATGCTTATCTAAAAGGGTAGCTCCAATTAAATAAAAAATACATGTGAAGTACTTAGGACTGCGTCTGGCACATAGTAAACACTCAACAAACATGAGCTATCATTATTACCTTTGGAAAAAATACATGTGAAAAATCTGAAGTAAAAAATGTAGATCACAAATACACCCCCCACACACTTTGGTCCAGATTTAGTAATCAAGGGATGAAGCATAAAATGAAAGTCAGGATATTCTGACTGTGGACTATGAAACAATTTTCAATCTATATTGGGTTATTAAAATGAGGCAACCAGGGGCATCTGGGTGGCACAATCGTTTGAGCGTCTTACTCTTGGTTTTGGCTCAGGTCGTGATCTCAGGGTGGTGAGATCGAGCCCCACATCAGGCTCTGCACTCAGTGCAGAGTCTGCTCGAGATTCTGTCTCTCCCTCTCCCTCTGTCCCTACCCTTGTGCTTTCTCTCTCTCAAATAAATAAATCTTTTTTAAAAAATGAGGCAACCAGTCTGTCATGACTGAGTTGAGGACGATACTTTATTTCATTAAATCATCACAACCATCTTGTGAGGTAGGTTTGATTATTATCCCTACTTAAACATGAATAAACTGAGACTCCGAAGGTATATAATTTGCCAAGCATCACTCAGCTGGTAAAAGGCAGAGTCTATTTTTCAACCTTGCTGCTCAGACGCCTGAAATCACACTCCTAACCCTCTAACAAGATGAGACAGGGTGACCATGGAGATGACAAGGACTCGATGTGATAGCAAATGACCTCAGCGAAAACTGATGAACAGTTCCATGGAAAACTTTTGGAGGCACTCTCTGACAGCACAAACAAGAACACAGTGGTTACATGCTAGGACACAAGTACTATTTAAATTATGTTAACTTTAAAAATTATGTACGTATATGCATGTTCTGGGCCTGTGCCTGCCTGTGGACGTCCAGCCTGTCTTTGTTGCCAGGGCAGCTGCTGGGGAGCTGGGCATGGGGCAGCAGACAGCAACTCCCTGGGATGGGAACAGCCCCAAGAGGCTGGGGATCCAGTGTCCTCTGTCCTGCTTCCACGGCGGGCCCTATGGCTGAAACCTCAAAGGGTTGGCAGGTGGCTTCTGTGCGCTTCAGCTGAAAGGCTCCACTGAAATGGTAAGATCTTATCAGTAAAATTGTTGTTGAGATAAACCTTTGGTCACAGAACACCCATTCTATGAAGACACATGTCGCCGTAACCAAAGGCAAGGCTTAGAAAACATATTCTTACGTTTTGCTAAATGATAATGCTTATTATTTGAAACTGTAACACAGAATTTACTAATGACATTCTCTCTGCATGCAGCCTAAGTCAGAACCATGGCTCCCAAATCTCAAAAACAAAAGAGCTCAGCTGGCCAAAAGAAACCAAAATGGGGCAAAACCAAACAAACGTTACCTGGTAGGATTGTTTTTTCATTAATGGGATTTTTATGGATCTAGTATTTGTATCTATATTAGCCACCAAAATGACTGTGGTTTAATGTATCAAATAATGAAATAGTTTTGATGTCATAAAGTCAACCACATATGGAATTTAAAGTATGGAGATTTATTCTTATTTTTGATTCATTTCATTATAATACCTGTTAAATGTCATATAATGAATGCCATAGCAAATGTATCACTAAGAGAGAATTGTGTGAAAAAAGATAATTATTCAAATTCTATTTAATCATGCATAAAATAGTTTAAATCTTCATTGTATATTTGTTTATGTTTCGTGCTTTGAGGCTGGTAAAAGACTGTAATAAACTTATAATGTTTACTTGATTCAAAAATGTAAATGTGACATCATTTTATTATATTCTAGATAGGGAAGAAACAGAACCTATAAATATGGAGAGCATGGGTAAGTGGAAATTTAATTTAGAATTTATGACCCCAGTTTTATAATATCTTAATATGCAATGAGCAAACAAAAATACAAATTGAAATGATTGATCAAGATGTACATGGGCTAAAATTACATTATATCATTTAGAATATAAAGTGAAAAATTTTGAAAAAAGAATAAAAAGAGTGGGAGAGAGAATTTCAAACTGAGAAATAGACTTGAACCAAGCAGTCTCTCACAAATCTAACAGGGTATGGTTATGGAAGAGACTAGAAAGTTAGTCTGCAAGTTATTACTTTCATTAGAATAATATTTTTAAGACTCTGGCTTGTGGTCAATATTTATCTGTACCTCATGGTAAGATTCAAGTATTTCAAGAAAAGAGGCTAATTTTTAAGCAAATAAACTAGAACTTAGACAACCAAGTTAATGTTGCTCCTACTTTTAGAGGCTAAATAATCTTATGCCAACAGGATCTTTTGTTTTGGTTGTTGAAACTTTCCTCTTAGATTGGACTTAAGTGATGCCCTTCATGTTTAGAGACAGAGAGGAAACAGTGAGGGTTGGGGAGGAGGAAGATCTAAAAGCCTTGTAGGCTGTTGTAAGGGCTCTGACTCTGAGTCATGTAGGATGGAGGTTACTCAAGTGGTATTTAAGCAGAGGAGTGATGGGATCTGACTTGTTTTGAAAGTGTCACCCTGGCTACCTAGCTGAGAACTTCAGGGACAGAAGTAGAGACCAGGCAGAAAGCTGTTGCAGGAACCTAGGAAAGAGAAGGTGGTGGCTTGGGCCAGGGTGGTAGAGGGGTAGTGGGGATGGCAGGAGGATGTCAGCTGACAGTAAATGGCACTGGAACAGGGCACTCTGCCCAATAAATACTTTATTGAATTAATGAATATACCACTCAAAAACTTGAAAGTCCTCTTTCACACCTTTCTCCCTTCAACACCTCCCCATCCCCCAATGAAACCATTCCACCTCTAAAATATATCCCATCCACTTCACCTTATGTCCACATCTGCAACCTTAGTCCAGACCTCCACACGTCTCATCTGGGTTGGTTCCTTAGCTCCCAGTTGGTATCACTGCTTCCATTCACTCTCCTTCAATCTATTCTGCATACCACCTGGTCATGTGTCTTTCCTGCTTAAACTCTCTCAGGGCTTTACTTTGCCATTATACCAGTCCTGGTTCTGCCTTCCTTTCTTTCTCTCTCTCTGTCTCTGTCTCTCTCCTCTCTCCCCGCCCCCCCCACCCCAACCTAGAGCCCACTGGCCTTGCTTAACACAGAGCACGTCAAAGTTATTCCTGCCTCAGGGCCTTTGCTCTTGCTACTCCTGATACCTGGATAGAGCTTCCCCCAGATCTTTATGTATCTATCTCTTTTTCAACATTCAGATCTAGACTCCAATCCCACCTCTGCAAGAGGACTTCCTTGACCTCTCCTTCACCTAGTATCATTTTATTGCCTTCATAGCACTTACCCTAATTCTGAAATTAAAGTACAGTCAATTCTTGTTTTTCTTGGAAGTTCTATACAGTTGCTGCAAACACTGAATTAGCAAATATTGAGCTATTTTTCCTAGGGTAAATACAGAGTTAGGTTCCTTTGAGCGTCTGGTCACAACATTTTCATTAGCCAATCAATACATAAACTTGTTTTATGTGTGTTTCTGTTTAAAGACACCTTATTTAATATATATTGTTAATTCATTAACATTGAACTCATGGCCAATGGCACTATAACTCATGTCTAAACGATGCTGTTCTAAGACCCGCATTTTCTCCATAAGGCACATCCCAGCCTTCTTGCATTTAGGAATGCTAGATAGCCCTTCGGCACTATGCTTGGGGGCCATTTTAACTGGCAAAATCACCAACGGAAAAAGTACAGAAATGTGAAAAATGTGGCACTAAATAGTGGGAAGGACACTTGTTTACAGTTTGAGGGCTGATACAAGATGGAGAGCATCACCTTGTTTGACCTCAGCTGGGAACGTGCCCATTGGGCACCTCAAACTTTTTGCCACCGTAAGCATGGCCACTGATGATGGTAAAAGCACCGTGACTACTGATGTTGGGGTTATACATTTTTGTATTGTTTTATTTTTTAAATATGGACTGCTTCACAAATCTGTGTGTCACCCTTGCACAGGGGGGGCATGCTAATCTTCTCTGTATCGTCCCAATCTTCGTACATGTGCTGCCAAAGCGAGCACAGGGTTACAAATAAGTTTTAGCAAGTGAATCTGCAAATACAAAATCCATGAATAATGAAGATTGTATTTATTTCTTTATGCATTTATAATCTATTTCCACACACACCTGGCTGGCCGTTGTGCACACTCACTCTCACTGACACACGCACATGCACACGTGTACTCCCGGGAAACAGAAACTCCCTTGTACACCACTGTACTCCAATGCCTAGAAGAGATCTTGACACATAATAAGCACTCAGCAAATATTTGTTGATTGATTTGTTGAATAAATGAATGAAAAAATGGCTTTCCCTATTCTTCTCGTCTAAAGAGACCACCACCACTCCCACTCTCCTTAGTTCTAAGTTCTACCTTTCACCCTGTTTTCTCCAAGTAGCACTTGTGATGATTTGTACTTCTGTATTTCTGAGTGTATTTGTCTGTTTAATGTCTGTCTCCCCCCTCTAGATAATCTAACCCTGGTACCAACACCATGATTTTACATAGTAATTGCTCAATAAGTATGTCTTGACTAAATGTGTTGACTGGCAAGAAAATCCATGAACCTGAGAATGGGGCCTGATGGAGATATTTCTGCAGAAAGTAAATGGGATGAAAAATAGATGTCTATTTATTTAAGGAGAAAAAAACCCAAAGCCTCAGTATGTTGTAGTGAGATTTGAAAGTAGGTGTTGATTTACCTAATACTAGAACATCTCTCCTCTACCCCCCAGACCTTCCAGGGCAACATTAGGACCCCTCTGACTTCCTTGCTGTGGGGTCCTGACATTGTCAACTGTTACTCAGGGCTTGTGGCTCATGCCCCAGGGAACTGGGATTCCCTTTCCTTCCAAGAACCAAGGGAACGACAAACTAACTAAAAAACTGTTGCCTAAGGGTCTAAAGGGCAATGTCTAGAGATTTCTAGAAAATAGATGTAATTTTTACATTTAGCTAACATACATGGAGCAACACCTTTGTGCCAGGCACACTCCTCTCATCTGTTTATCTCTGTGAAGTAGGCAGTATTATGGCCATGACATAGATGGAGGTGCTGTGACTCCCAAAATTAAATAATTTACCCAAATTCTAAGTCATGTTTTAATACAGGTTAGAGTATCCGTGATGTATTAATTGCCTATTGCTGCAAATTACCACATACTTCGTGGCTTAAAACACTTAAAAATTAAATGGTTTATTATCTTGCAATTTTGGAAACCAGGAGTCTGACATTACTTTCATTGGGTCAAAGTCAAGGTATTAACAGGGCTGGTTCCTTCTGGAGGCTTTGAGGGGAGGATCCACTTCTTTACCTTTTTCAGCTAAAGGCTCTCTACATTCATAGACTCTTGGCACTTTCCTCTATTTTCAAGGCCAGCAGTGTAGTATTTTCTAATCTTTCTCTCTTTGACCTCTGCCGCTTTGTCACATCTCCTTCCTTGACTTCGGCCCTCCTGCCTTCCTCTTACAAGGACCATTGTGGTTACCTTGGGCCCTGCTCAGGGGCCCAATGATCTCCCCATCTCAAGTTCCCTAACTTTGTCACATCTGCAAGTCTCTTTTGTCATATAAGGTAACTTATTCACAGGTTTCAGGGATTAGGACATGGACACCTTCAGGGGGACTCTATTCTGTTCACCACAAGTGATTAGTAGCACAGGCTCGGGAATTAGACCTGGCTCAATTCATAATTCTGCCACTTAATGACAGTGTGGTCCCATGACTTCACCTCTCTGAGCCTCTGCTTCCTCATCTGAAAAACAAGGTAGCGAGACTACCTCACGAGATTATTGCAGGTTAAGTTAGATAGTACACGCACACTTCCTTACATGGAGCCATCACAAAGACGGTTCATGCTAACTGTTGTTACTATTTTTAAAAGATATTATAAAGACATAGACCAATGAGTGAGAATGAAGAATCCCAAAGTAGGCTCACATATATATGGTCAATGGATTTTCAAAAAAGTGCAAAGGCAGTTCAGTGGAGAAAGGACAGTCTTTTCAACAAATGATGCTGGAACAATTTTATATCTATATGCAAAAAAAAAAAAGAATTTCAATCTATACTTCACATCATATACAAAAATTAACTCAAAATTATCATAAACCTGAATATAAAACCAACTATTATAAAACTTCTGGAAGAAAACATAGGAAAAAATCTTTTTGACCTTGGATTAGGCAAAGATTTCCTAGATACAATACCCAAAGTCATAAATCTTAAGAAATCTTTGCTTAATTGATCTTTTCTTTTATGGAATACCAGTCAGAAATGTAAAGGAATGAACCATGTGTTACATGCAACAACATGAATGAATCTCAAAATAATTATGCTGAGTGAAAGAAGACAAACAGAAAGAATACAAACTGTGTAATTACATTTATAAATAGTCCATAAAAGGTGAACTAAGCTATAGTAATAGAAAGCAGATCAGTGGTTGCCTAGGGGTGCAGGAGGGGTGCAGGGAGGAAGGGACAGGAGGAAACTTTGGGGGATTATGGATGTGTTCTTTACCTCAATTGTGGTGATGGCTTCATGTGTATATGCATATATTTATCAAATTGTATGCTTTAAATATATACAGTTTATTGTTTGCCAATTATATCTCAATAAAACTGCTTTAAAAAAGGAAATAGCAACCAAAATGTAAAAAAAAAAAAAGTACAGATGAAATACATAGGAGTTATTTAAATTAGCTCTGTTTCAAAATGCAGGGCAATCAGGGCACCTGGGTGGCTCAGTCGGTTAAACTTCTGCCTTCGGCTCAGGTCATGATCCCAGGGTCCTGGGATCAAATCCCACATAGGGCTTCCCTTGCTCAGCAGGGAGCCTGCTTCTCCCTCTCCCTCTGCCTGCAGCTTCCCCTGCTAGTGCTTGCGCTCTCTCGCTTGCTCTCTCTCTGTCAAATAAATAAATAAATAAAATCTTCTAAAAAATTATTTTAAAAAATGCAGGGCAACTGATGTATATTGAGGGCTCTGGTCTGTAGGGCACGGGACTCTTCCTTGTACACACAGTAAGATTGTGAGGAGTGAGTTATGTAGAGCTTGAGTCTGTCTGTGGCTCCTGCTCTATCAGCTACCAGGTCAGTAACTGCCATTGACTGCATCCCGTGGAGTGTAATCTGTCACCTCCCGACCACGTGTGAGGAAGGAGCAGGACCCTCTCCTGTGCTCTGCTGTGTCCACACATTAGAAGGAAAGTATAGCATGGTAGTAAGAGTGCAGGGACCTTAGTTTGGATCCCAGCTCCCCCATTTCCAACTCCCAAGGAGAGAAAAATGGCAGTTTGTCCCTAATTTAGGAACAACTTGTATTCCAAATGTTTATTATGCCAACTGACTGCAATTTGGAATATATTTCCACATATACTCAGCGTTATGCATATGGTCATTAACCCTGCCCCCAAATTACCTGAATAATTGTGTCATAGAGCCACTAGGGTGGGGGGGTAAATATTTCTGTAGGAAAATAAGCCCCAAATTCCACTCTGAGAGGCCACATGCACTTCTCCACTTGCTAGCACATCTGTTGAGCAGTAAGAGAAAAGATGTCAGGACGTCTAGGCGTATAGGGTCTGGAGAAGAAGAGAGTGGACTCCGGGACGTTGGGAGGGAGAGTTGGGGGAGGAAGTTTTGGGGGTAGATGCAGAGCTGAGACTGGGACTGTGGAAACTGGTGGTGATAAAAAGGATAAGAAAATGAGAAGACAGCTTGAGATAGAGGAAATAGAGCACCCTCTTAATAGAGGCTCTCTCGAGAGGTGGTATTACAGATAATTGTTATTTTCTTCCTTTTTTCTTTTTTTGACATATTCTGTAATGGATATACTTACTTTAAAAATAAGAACAATGATTTTTAAAGCCTTTTAAAATTTTAACCAAGACAATTATTTAAAGCAAACAGTTGCCTGTTTCCTCTTAATATTTTAAGTGGTTTTATTTAATGTCCAAATTCTACTTTGCGTTCCCCAGGTCATCCAGAAATCTATCCTTTAGTATTAACTACCCAGACCCAGGAAATATTTAACTGCCGAATAGATGAAGATATCACAGATGAACAACCTTATAAACTTATCAAAAAAGAAGATATTTTTGCAGACTTTCAGAACAGAGCTGCAGTATCTGATTTCCATCCAGTCAAAAAAGTTATCCAGGTAAGTATAACATCCCTCTTTATTTTTTAGTCCTGCCTCAAGAGGTTTCTGGTACATAATAACAAAAGGCAGAGAGATTGTTGAGTTCAAATCTGTGGCATTCCCCCCGCCCCCCACCCCCGGTCCCAGTTACGTTAGACAAATGCTAGCTTGCCCACACCTCCTTTGGAATCCTGCTTGATAATCCTCTGTGTAAAGTCACCTATCAGTGACTGACTCTTACTTCATAGCCAGAAAAGCTTATCCTTGCCCACTTTCAATTAGAATAGGAATCTACTCTTATTTTCCCATAATGCTTTAATTTTTTAATTCATAATTTTGGTCTGATTTGTCTCCAAACATGCTACTGAGCACCAATGTCAAATAAAAGGAATGCTTCTTTTTTTCCTGTTAGAAATAAAATTGTGTAGTAAATTTCCCTAGACCTACTGAGTTTTAAGAGCTTTGTTAATAGAATAATTTTACAACCTGGGATTATGAGCCATAGATTAGCACTATGGTGGTTATCTTTTATGATTGATTAGAAAAATATCAATTTTGTATCTGAATAAACTGAAAGAAAACTGACCTTCTCTTTTGATTATATTCCTATAGGAATATCCTGGAGATGAGCTTCTGGTTGTTTATGACAAAGACTTCAAATATGGACTTAACTTTTATCTTATTGGAACTGAAGAGGGCAAAGAAAACTATTTAAATGTAAGCAGATGCCAAGTCCTTGCATTTTGTTGATTGTTGGAGGGAAGGAATACCTCTGGGGGAGACCTATACATGGTTTTGATTATTCTTGTTCAGTTCTCTTTCCCTGGGACCTAGACCAGGTTCTGGCACTTAGAGTAGGTAAGAGATGAGCTAAATCAAACACCTCAGAGTAACAGATACTCTACTTATTTGCCTTTTATTGTCCCAATGAGAGTAGAAACAATAAATCGGGAGTAGTATTGCTCTTGGCCACTCTTTGTCCCATACTCCTGGTTCTCCTTTTGCCATCTCCATGACTTTGGGCAAGTTACTGAACCACTTGTCTGCAAAATGGTGGCACCAATAGTATCTATTTCTGGGGCTGTTGTAAAAATTAAATGGGCTTTTTTTTTTTCCTTTTGCTTAGTTTCCTTCTCCTAGTTGAAAAACATGAACCAAGAATAAAGAAAATAGGAAGTGCTTAATTTATACAAACATAAAGTTTATTGCAAAATATTCACATGCAGCTATAACTTACTTTTGGTCATATATTTTAGAGTGCTATTTATTTTACTCTAGTCCCCAGAAGTACCAGAAGAACAGGAAGAATATAAAGAGCATATTCCAGAAGATGTATACATTTATAAGCCACCTATCTCTAAACCATGGGTTTCTTTGGGCAGTGAAAAAGAAATTGAGGAAGAATTGGTTAAGGAATCTACAAAGCAGGTCAGAGGCGTGGATATGATCTTCAGTGTGCTTACCTCTCTATAATGCTGAACAACACTGATTCCTGAGGGATCTGTAAAGTTTGCTATGTTTGCCAATGGGGATGTGGTATTTCCTTTGATAGAAGAATGGTCATTGTTTGGGGTATTTGGGTATTAAGGGTAGAACTGTATTCCCCAAAAGAGATATGTTGAAGTCCTAATACCCAGTATCTCAGAAGGTGACCCTATTAGGAAATGGGTGTCACTAATCCAATATGACTGGTGTCCTTATAAAAAGATGGCCATGCAAAGACACACAGACATAGGGAGAACACCATGTGAAGAAGGAAGCAGAAATAGGAGTGATGGATCTACAAGCCAGGTAACAGCAAGTATTGCTGGCTGTCACCAGAAGCTAGGAGAGAGGCAAGGAACGGATTCTCCCTGAGAGCCCTTAAAAGGAACAAACCCTTCAGCACCTTGATCTCAGACTTCACTCCCGTTGTTTTAAGCCACCCAGGCTGTGGCCCTTGGTTACAGCAGCCAGAGGAACCTGACACAGTGGCATTCCAAGAGCAGCCCCTGAGAAGAAGATTTGTATGTGAGTGATTTATTATGAAAGTGCACCATAGAAGAATAGGAAAAGCAGCAGGACAGGGACATAGCAGAAGTCCTACAAGGATGCAATCTCAGGCAAAGGGCCAGTAGAGAAAAGGCTTTAGCTTGAACCCCTAGAGGAACTCTGGAGTGTAAATGACACCTGCGTTGTCCCAAAGAGAAGCAAAGGAGATGGGCTTACACATATCTCCCACCAGTCCAACACTGGTGAGTGCCAGTCACTTCCTATTCTTTTTACCTTTGTACCAAAGTGCTCCCAGGTAGCTAGAGCAGTGCTCTGCAGAAGAGCAGCAGGGGGTGGCCCTGAAAATGGAAAGCACACAGAGCTGGAGGTATAGTATAGCAAAGTATAGAAAGAGATTTGAGGGCCAGCTGGGTGGCTTAGTTGGTTAAGCACCTGCCTTTGGCTCAGGTCATGATCTCAGGGTCCTGGGATAGAGCCCCGCGTCTGGCTCCCTGCTCAGCAGGGAGGCTGTGTCTCCCTCTGCCTCTGCTTATGCTCTCTCTCATTCTCTCTCTCTCAAATAAATAAATTTTGGAAGGAAGGAAGGAAGGAAGGAAAGAGAAAGAAAGAAAGAAAGAAAGAAAGAAAGAAAGAAAGAAAGAAAGAAAGGGAAAGAGAGAAAGAGAGAAAGAAAGATTTGAGAGGATCTGAGCAGAGCACCAGTATTGTCTACCAAACATCCACTTTTCCATGGACTTGATTCTGTTACTTTTACTGCTCACATGTGTTGCAGATTACATATATGATTTCTCGAAAACGAAGTGAGTTTGGAGCGCCAATTAAGTTCAGTGACCAAAATGCTTCCAGTGTAAAAGATGCCTATATTGAATGTACAGCCTACCCAGATGGACATTTTGCCCTTAAGCAACTTGAGAAAGATGTTGGCATGCAAGTAGTCCCCAAAGTCAAGGACACAAGCACCCAAACAAGATGGTAAGTATGCGATGGGGTTGTATATTTTCAAAGGCAATTACAGTAAAATCTAGCAACATCCATGCTTATTTTGAAAGATCTTTATAATAAATAGAAATGGATTGACAATGACAACATAGATCTTCACAGAGCAATTCAGGCAGATCTAATTATACTCAACAATACCTTTTAAAATCTCAATAGGAAAATAAATAAACATAAATAAATAAAATCTCAATAGGAGAAGGAGAGACAAGCCTGTAAGAGCGGAAACACTATGAAGTAGGACAACATTGATGCACACTCCTGCTTTCAGAGCAGGGGCCCTGTGGTCTCTCGCCTCTGCCTCCTAACCACTCTATTCCACCACCCAAGTGATCATTCTCCCATATCAAAGCAGATTGTGTTAGGTCACTGCCTAAATCTCCTCTTTGGCTCCGCATGGCATCCAGAGCCCTTAGGATGGCATGAGATCCTCCTTCTTCCATGACAAGGCATTGTCTGCCACTCCAGCCTTGACACCCTGTTCTGGAACAAGCTCTTGTGCTCCAGCCCCATGGGCTGTTTCCAGCTTCCAGAATGTCTGCTTTTCCACATCTTCCTGCCTCTGCCCATGCTGTTCCTCTTACATTAGCCTACAGTTGAGCCACATCATCTAACACAAACCTACTTTATAATAAAGGGTTGAATATCTCATGTAATTTATTAAATACTGAAAGTGAAAAACAGGATGGTTGTGTGGGTACAGAATGATTGTCGGTGAATGGATTGTTCACCCTCACGATCGTGTGGCTGCCTGGGAGCTCTGGCCCCTTGCCACTGCCCAGCATCATGAGAGAAGATCGTACAGCAGATCACTAGCCCAGGACGATTCCAAATCCAAAATTCAAAGTACAGTTTCTACTGAATGCATATTGCTTTCACTCCATGCTGAAGTAAAAAAATCACAAGTGGAAGCATCATCAGTTGGGGGCCATCTATAAAAGCAATAACCCCCATTGCTATCTACCCCTTACTCTATTTGTCTTCATGTTATTATCATCACTTGATATGTGTTGGTCATTGTCATTCTTCTCTCACCTCTGCGCCCACCCTGCCTTAAAATTTAAGCTCTATGACACAGGAACTTTGTCTATTTTGTTTATTTCCACATCCTCAACTCCTAGGATATTTCCTGACATACATTTATGAAATGGAGGAAGGAAGGGGGAAGAGATAGTTGGAGTTAAAGAAGAATGCGCAGAACAGATGACTGATTTGATTTCACAGTGTCAAGAGAGGGCTATGAAATATGCAGTGACCAGGAGAATCAGGAATCAGCAGTGTGGAGTGAAATATAAAACATGTTTTTCAAATCTATGTAAACCAACAAGTCAGAAACCATAAAAATGCAGTGATAAAGTCAGGGCACATACACATCAATCAATACCAGGGGTCGGAATAAGAAATAGGTCAGAAACAAGGGAGGCAGATGAATAGGCCAGAATTAAGGAAGGTAAAAAAGAAAGACAGGATCAGTAGTCAGGTCTGGACAGAGAATCAGGACACCAGAGATCCACAAATACCAAGAAGTGAGGCTGAGACAGGAGGGAGAGAGGTGAGACATTAGTACCAAAGACACTTAAACTATGAGACAAATTTCTAAGCCAAGCCAGCCAGAGACTTTTCCTATGTTCCTGCCAGGGTGCGGAACAGTAACGAGAATGAGTCAGCCAGGATAGACTTGGCAGGTAGACTCAGAAGAGGACAGGGAATTCCAACAACAGGAACCCAAACCAGAAGACTCTAGATTTAGTAGCTTCTCAATGAATGCTGACTCATACCAAGTGACAGTTGTATCTATATAGATGGAGTGAAAGATGAGAAGTAAGTGAGGGTCTTGACCCATGAGATGAAAACAAAATATATGAATCAAAAGGTTCAAATCTAGGATGCTGGGAGAATGCTGGTACTCCTTACCAAGATCAGGAAATCAGGAAAGGTAGCTAGTCTGGGGTGGAGAGACTGAGAGATAACAATTGTGGTGGAAGTTAAAAAAAAAAAAAAAAGAATCAAAGGTGAGGTTCAAAGAGGACGACAGTGAAAGCAAATGTTCACTGTGTTCTTCCCACACACTAGGCATTCTTCTAAGCACTTGGCATGCAGCAACTCAATTCTCACAACTGCCCTCTGAGGTAGGCACTATCCCCATTTTACAAATAAAGAAACTGAGGCAAAGCCAGGTTAAAAATGAAAGCTCAATGTTCGGAACATAATTTAAATCTGAAGCAATAACAAATAGATCTGCTGAGAAATAACAAAACAAATCACATTGAAAAAGTAGGAGTGATTTAGTCATGTTGCTTCATGGATGAAACCCCTTAGGTGCCATATAATTTCTTACTTAATCCTACCTAGAGGATACTAATGTGTGCTAAAAATTAAGAGGTGAAGCTAAGATTTGAACCCAAGTCTCTCTGGTTCCAATACCAACATTCTTTCTTTCCAGCACTCTGCTTTATGCTACGGATACTGGGCTACTTAGGAGAAAAAAGCATGAATTCTTTATTAAACATAAAACTCTCTTTACGCTTTGTTTCATTACTCTTCACTTAATATATCTGCCTCTCACAGAGATGTTTTACTAACATTTATCCAACACAGATTAAATACAACCTAATATTTTTTTGAGCACTTACAGTGGGCTAGGCACTGTTTTAAAAGCTTTGCATGTATTAACGCATTCAATTTACAATGACTCTAGGAGCCAGCTACTTTGAGAATTTCATTTAAAGATGAATAAACAGACACAGAGAGGTTAAATAATTAGCTTGGGGTCACAAGGCTTGTTAGTGATAAAACCAGGCTTCAAAACCAGGCAGTGTGTCACCAGAGTACACACCCTTAATGACTGTGACACACGACCTTTCTATAGCCCCCTACCCTAAGATCAAGGAGCTCACCCGGTCCAGCGGGGGAGAGTGCCAATGCCCAGATGCAACAGGAGATGTTCAAGGGTGCAGGTGAGCACTGAGGGCAGACTGGATGGAATAAGCTTTCTCCCAGAGATCACGTTGCCATCACTGCTGAAATGTAAATTGTTTTTAGTTTTGTATATAGAGAGCAGAGTTTCTCAGTCTCAACCCTACTGACATTTTGGGCTGGATAATCCTCTTTTATGGAAGGCCGTCTTGTACGTTGTAGGGTATTAAACAGCATCCCTGGATTCTACTCACTATATGCCGGTAGCACATTCCAGTTGTGATAACCAAAAATGTTCCTGGATGTGGCCAAAAGTTCCCAGGGTGTGGGGGTGGGGTAGGACTGCACTGGTTAAGAAACATTGATTTAATGAAATGAAGAGCAAGAGAATGATGAACAAATGTGGCAAAGTGTTAATAGCGGATGAATCTGGGTGAAGAGTGTATGAGAGTTCCTTAGATCCTTCTTACAACTTTTCTGTAAGTTAAAAATATCTAAATAAAAATTTTAAAAAATAAGAACTTCTTGATTATGTTGGAAACAAATGCATAAATACTCAAAGTATTTCAAAAAGGCAGTTAATATCAATTATCTAGGATAAAGAAAAAAATTCAATATATAGAATTTAAATTAAAAAATAGTATCTTATTGGGGCGCCTGGGTGGCTCAGTGGTTAAGCATCTGCCTTCGGCTCAGGTCATGATCCCAGGGTCCTGGGATCTAGTCCCGCATCGGGCTCCCTGCTCAGCGGGAGGCCTGCTTCTCCCTCTCCCACTCCCCCTGCTTGTGTTCCTGCTCTCTCTCTCTCTCTCTCTCTGTCAAATAAATAAATAAAATAAAATAAAAATAGTATCTTATTACCATTACAGAAAGAAACCTTTGACCTGTCACAAGCTATATTTACTTTCCTTTGTTCTAATTTTTGGTATTCGATTTTCTTTTAATATATTAGGACATATCCCAAAAATGCCATTACACAATATTATCCAAGAGAATTATCAGAGGAGGAAAAAGAGACATTTGGACAATCAAAGCCTTTGAGTGACTTTCTTAACAACACATGTATAAGGTAAGAACTGTCTATTAAATTTTTAAAATAAAACAAAATGTGTATGTGTACCTATAGCGATAGGTCTTAAAAAGCAACTCGGTCCATGGTGTCTAGTTAGAGAGTATGAAGAGTTATCAGATATGCATGACCATGTGACAACATTCTCAGTCTTTCCTTTCTATTGCCAGGCAACATCCTAGACCTCCCAAACTAGGGCCACACCAGTGTTCACCTGCGAGACGTATACAGTTGAGTGTGTGAGGATGTTTTCCTAATGGCAAATTAACATCTATTTACCCTGGTTCTTTTATTTAAGTCTTTCTTCTCCACTCCCTACTCCCCTTCTTAGCTTCATTAACTTGTATAAGATTGCAAAGATGAGGATGCAGGGGATGTGGAAGATGATCATGATGATGATGATCTTTGTAAATGATAACCTGAATTCGATTCACATGTACCTTTGTACATCTTATCCCTTGCCACTAATTCCTGTGTTGCTGCCACTCTTACTGAATCTGAGAGAGAGGTGTCCTCAGAAACATCCCCCACCCACCCCACCCCCACACACAGACACTGTTAATAGGACCCTGGGGTTTCTAAACCAGAGAAGAGCTTGACAAGGTCTCATCAAGTCAACATCAGAGTTCAGAGAAGTGGAGCCAGTGATGGACAGGTCTGCCAGGTGTACCCTGTAGGTTGGTTTCCATGTCTTTCCAAAATTAAAAATTTTTTGGTCAAATTCATACATAGCCCATATTAAGTTTTTGCATTTTTAAGAAAACACCATTAATTCTTTGAGACTTTTAAATATCCTGAAAATTCCAACAACTCTCGAAAGTTGTTACTTATGTCTGGGGGGAATCTGGTTCAAAAATTCACCAGAGATGCAAAGAGAGTGCATTAAACTAGATAAAATACTTTATGTATGTATAGTTTTATTTACTCCAGGTCAAGGCTTCTTGTGAAGTTTAGTAAAACGTAGAACAAAGATAGATGTTCCATCAATGCCTAATGACTAACAGCTGTTCAACAGCTGTCCCTTGCTGACTTGTCATACTTTAGCTAGCTTGCCTGCTATTTCCCTGTGCCAGCCACCAGAATGACTATGGAATCAAAGCTTGGAGAGCGGAGGGGACACAGTGGCTGTTAACAAAAAGACAGAAACCCAGAGGCGGGAACACAGTCTCTCCTCACAGGATTTCCGTACTAGTCGGTCTCTGGAGAAGATATTAAACATGAAGAAAAACTGTATATCTCATGGCAAGGGTAGGGGACACACTACAAGGCAGAATTCCATGAAACCTCCAGAAATTGCCAGAGGTTCAATGTTTTATAAAGGGGGTTGCAGTTTTGTGGACTCTGCTGGTTGATTAGGGGAAATGAAAATCAGGTGAGTTTACTTCGGACTTTGAAGCAAGCCTCATTTTTTTTTTTGTTATTGTATCTTTTTAAAAACTTTTTTATTGTTATGTTAATCCCCATACATCATTAGTTTTAGATGTAGTGTTCCATGATTCATTGTTTGTGCATAACACCCAGTGCTCCATGCAGAACATGCCCTCTTTAATACCCATCATCAAGGCCTCATTTTCTTGTCTGTTTGGTGACAAATGCATTTCTGTTTAGGCTACAAAACTAAACAACAAAAACAGAAAAACAGAGTGCATAACTATTTGCCACTCATTTACCGGAAGCATGCTATAGTTTTTCCAGTGGGGCAATGAGAAAGAAACAAGAAAACCTAAGGTTTCTGTTTCCCCATATCAAAATTTAGTCCTTAAAATTTTTCCTGATAAGAATATTAAAAATGAGAAGTCTGTGTACAATCCATTTCAAAGCCATAAATGGCCTATAGCCAATTCTTAATTATCCACATGGTGTATTATCTTTAGACCTGGGTGTTTATTCTTCCCTTTCAGTTACCATGCTTACTGAGAGAGGAATAGTAAGCAGTTTTATAATTCCCTCTCTGAGATGTGGGAAGAAGAAGCCAGAACTATAAGAAAAAGAGGAAAATTGGCACAGGAATTATAATAGCACCGGTGAAGAATAAATAAACCCACAAATATATCACTGCCATGTTTCCCACTCTAAAACTGTTTAAGGTTTATTCAATTTTTTTAAAAGTTAATATATATAAGGCTGGTTTTGATCTGGGAATAGTGCCCTTTTAGAAATGAGTTCTTTCTTAAAGAATTTTATCCATAAAGAACCTAAGGGAAGCAGTATTTGCAAAAGAAGGAAATGATAAGAAAGGAAAGAGAACTTCAAGGGATTCTCAAAGCAACTAAAAAACATTTGTTTTTGAGTTAAAAACAAAAAAACTTAAAAAAAATACTTACAGGAGCGCCTGGATGGCTCAGTTGGTTAAGCGTCTGACTCTTGATTTCAGCTCAGGTCCTGGGATCGAGCCCCAAGTCAGGCTCCATGCTCAGCTTGGAGTCCGCTTGAGATTCTCTCCCTCTCCCTCCTCCCCAGCTCTCACTCCCTCTCTCTCTCTCTAAAATAATAAATAAATAAAATCTTAAAAAAAAAAGTACTTACAGGCTCTAACTCAGACGACGGTTTTGCCTCCACTTCATCACCCTCAGAAACTGGAGTGCAGGAAAATAAAGAAACAGGAAACCAGAGAAAAGGTGCTGTCTTCACTTCTCCCTTGTGAATTAGTTCCCAGTTCAGACTGAGAGGGAAGAATCAGGAAATCAGATCAAAGGCCCTGGCTTTAGCTTGTCTCTTGGGAATTTCTTTCTCATTTAGGCTGAAACAGGAAGAAAAAAAAAAAACCCACAAGATTTTGAAAAAGCTAACAAATGCTTCTACTTGAAGCTCCAGGCTGCGAAGCTAACCCTCGTGGGTGTTTAAACGTGCATGTGAATCACCTGGGTATCTTGTCAACATGTGGACTCTGATTCCGTAAATTCAGGGTGGAGTCTGTGACTCCTTTTTTGGCAAACTCTAGGTCATGATGGTGCTGGGGGCCCATAGACCACACTTTAAGTAGCAAGGTCCTAGTTTGGAAGGTAAAATACAAGAAGAATTTAACCAAGAGTACCCAATTAAGCAGTGGACGGTAGTGTTAATTCTTAACAATAGAGGTATTAAAGGTCACCCTGTTTAATTACATTCTTAGGAGTATCTATTATAATATTTAGAGTTTATATTTAATTGTCTAAGGAGGGTTTTTTTTCTTATTTGAGGAAATTCATACTCAAGAACCACTCTTTCAGCTTACCATACCTATTAAAAAACCAAGCTATTTGGACCCTCAATCATTAGGGTAAAACGTTGGGTGACATCCTAATTGTGGGAAAGCTCCAGAGGCCTTGTGAGTGAGCTGAGCTTTCAAACCAAGCATATACAGGGGCAATAAACATGACAGAAACTTACAGCAATTTTTGTTTTGTTTTGTTTTTTGTTTATGGTACCGCTTCTTTCAAGAATATACCTCATTTTCATATCATAAGCAAGTGACTGAGTAATGGTGAAATACATTAGTCAAACTCACAGAAAACAGAAAATCTAAAAAACAATATTTATACGCAAACATAGACACAACTACTTGAAGGCTCAGGAGAGTGACCAAAAGTTAGCAGAAACTAGAGGGGAGAAGGATGAGATTTGCAAGTTTGCAGTGCTTTTTCTATAATTATTGCCTAATCCATAGGAGGCTCAGGTGACAGGTCTGTGGGTGGTAGAATAACCAAATAGTCAGGGGAAAGTCATGGAAGGAAGGGAGCCCTAGATAAGCCAAGACCCCAGATCTACCTAAAAAATCTAATCAGATCCTAGGCTATAGACTAAAGTGCTCATTTTTAGGGGAAGCTCTAGGGGAGTCCAGAACAACCAGCATCTAGAAGCTGAAAAAGTGAGCAGAGATTTCAGCTGTTGTTCTATACAAAGAAGATAGAATTTGGAGTTTGAGTCCAGAACAAATTTCACTTTTCAGAGGGAAAAAAAGAGAATCCAGGTCTCTACAACATATCATTTATAACAACCACTTTCATTAAATATGTAAAGTCTCTAACCGTGTGAAGAAGCAGGAAAATGGGACTCTAAAGTTCTTCCTGATACCACCTCTGGTACCAAACGAGGGTTTCTTTCCCCCCAACACCAAATAGTATCCTCTCCCACATCAATTCTCTCTCTGGAGTTCTCTATCTGGAGTTAGTGCAGACTCCACAAGTTAAGGGGCTTAGTCCCACAAGCCTGCCCCAACTTCAGACGCCAGTCTCAAGTCCCAGGAGGGCTATGCTTCTGACTGACCAGCTATAAATCAGTTTGATAATTCTCCAGAATGACTCACTTAACTCAGGAAAGTGCTCTCCTTACTCTTACCGGTTCATTGTAAAGGATACAACTCAGGAGCAGCCAAATGGAAGAGATGCACAGGACAAGTGATTGGGGGCGGAAGGTTGGGAGACAGGCGCTAGGTTCCCAGCACTTTCGAGTATTCACTGAATTTGGAGCTCTTATAGTAACTTTTAAAACAGGAGCCAGTCAAGTCAGGGCCCTAGGCTACTAAGAGATGAGCCTAGCACTCAGGTTGTTCTTGAAAGGGCAGTATTCGCCTTGTTAGTGGGATAATTCTTAATTTGAGGGATTGTATCATGCACTGCAGATTTAGTAATAGAATTAAACACAGTAGCACCTCCCAGGCACTGTGATAACTAAAACCACCTCCACACATCTCCACACACACACACACACACACACACCACACTTCTAACCTGCAAATCTCCCCTTGAGAATCTTTTATTTTAAATTTTATATATACAATATATACATATATATTCTAATCCTGATTAATACATAACCCGAAATATATATGTATATATAATCCTAATGATATATTTGTACAGTAATTAGTATATATGAATATTCAGGACTGAATATGGCTAAGAAAATTGCCTTTTCTGTCTGTCTGGGGTTTTCAGGAAGCGAATGAGACCGAGTTTAAAGTAGAGGTTTGCTGAGCATCCCGCTGTGTAAAATTTTTTTTTAAAGGAATCAGGATTGGGCAAGGAGAGCTTCAGCAAGGTCTAGGCCAACCCCTGCAGGGAGCTCCAGGGGGAAGACGGCCTGTGGGAGGAGTCCGGCAGGAGGTAGAGCAGGGCAGGCCCCGTGTCCTTGCAGCTGCAAGCTCAGTTATGGGCCTGGGCGAGCACATCCGCAGCCTGGAAGCCCGGGTAGATCATGAAGGTGCTCCAGGCCATCAGCTAACAGCCTCCTGGCACCAGAAGTTCCGAGTAGCACACAGCTATGAGGTTTTTTCTCTTAAGGCATTTATTTCACATGGGGGTAATCGTCAGTTACCAAATGTAATTGAGAACATTTTTTTCTTTCCATGTAAATGAAGGAGGATCTGCTGAAAGACCTGTCATTGAATAGTAAAATCCAGTGTCTTGGGTTTTTTTTGTTTGCTTTTCTAAACAAAATAGTGTTGAAATAGCCCTGCAGCAAAATGAAATCATGAACACATTTATTGATGACTGGAAGTGCCTGGCAGAAGAAGAAAGCTCCTTTGGAGACAAAACCGATACGCACCTGAAAGAGTACCAGTCCTTTACCGACCTCCATAACCTGACAGAGAAGATGATCACCTCCGTCTCGTGGCATCCGACCATCTACGGTGAGATGAACAGGACAGTGGTTCTCTTTTGTGATGGCACAGAAATAGTCTGTGGCTTTTCTAGTAAAATGACAAACTAGCTCAGTTTCTCAGTTGCGGTAAGACCACTTCCAGCTGCAAAGTGCACCCGCCGAGCACTTTCGGCACCCCTGCCATCCTGTGTTCTCCCAGAACCTCACTGTGGTCTCTACAAGGACAGAACCAGAGCTCAAGCCAGAGAAGTGACCGCTCAGGTCACCTAGCCGGTGCAGTGCTGAATCTGGATTTGCCTCAGCCTGTTGGGCCTCCCAAGGCTAGCTCCTTTTCCCGCCCTCCACCCCTCCCTCCACATGCTCTTCCTATCTGATTAACGGACAAGAGAGGAAACACACCTCCCTTAAATCACTCAGCAGCCAAGGGAGGGGGTACCCAGTGCAGGTGGAACCACATGCAGATGGAACCACGAAGAGAAAAAGGTCTTTTCCCTCTTTTTTCCTCCTCCTCTCCCCCGCAGTGGCCCTTCTCAATCTCTCTCTCTCTCTCTCTCTCACACACACACACACACACACACACACACAATTCATACTAAATCTTTGAAGTCCATTGTTTATTTTATATTAACAGTACATCTCAGTTTGGACTGACCACCTTTCAAGTGCTAAATAAGCAACATGTGGCTACTGGCTACCGTATTACCCAGTAGAACTCTAGGTCTCTTACTGAATGTATTTACTCAAGTTTCATCAAAATGGAAATGAATAGTGACCACGTTGAGCAGCAAAACCTAAAAACATTTCTCTATGTACCGTTGCTGCAGATTTTAACTTCGAATTGTGTTTCAATCAGGCCTAATAGCTGTGTCCGTGGCTGTACGACTCTCCCTTGAAGAGAGAGTCCAGTTTTCTGGTAAACTGTTGCTGCAACCATCACTGATTCTTTTCTGGAGTTTCTCGGATCCCATACATCCTCAGGTAATTAAGGAGAGGTGTCCACATAGTCTAAACATTTCGGAAACTATGTTCACATTTATCTTTAGCAGTTTTAATTGCAAAGTACTTTATAACCAGTTAATATGGTAAGTGCTGGTAAAGTTAAGCTTTCTTCAATTCAGAATTTGTCATCAATTTGAGCAAAACTAAAGTTTACACTTAGTTTATTGAAAAGGTTTATTGAACAAATCAACATGTTATTTTCAGAAACGATTTTAAGAGGACTGTTAAAAAGCAAACACTTTCATGGGCTTTATTTAAATACTATTTGTTCAAATGCAAATAGATTTTAATTTCACATGAATTTCCTCAGTTCTGAGGATCACCAAGAGGTGACAGTGATGAGTAGAGATGCCTGTGTGGGAAATAATGGGGAGGGGTGCAGACTACCGCCCTGGAGAGTGGACAGCCCATCTGGGGGGATACTACTCTTCAGCTCTCTTGTTGCCAGGTGGTCTTACTTGGTTTAAAGAATCCAGATCAGATTTTTTGAGTGAAATCTCCCAATTTTTAAATAGTTCAACTAAAACCAAACCAAACACACAATTCAAATAAAACAAGTCTGAGGACTAGGTTTGCCCCACAGGGTTCTATTTCTATCAGCTGCTCAAAAAGAGTTTTGCTTAGGGGAGGGTGCTTTATAGTGTTAGACTAAGTTTTTTTTAATGTACTTAAATATAATATTTTGTTTCTATAAAGTATTATATATCTAAGGATTTCCCTAATAAACCCTAACCTTTCCTCCTAACTTCTTCCCTAATTTATCTGAATTCAGGCAGTTTTACTATAATAGATTCTAGTATTTTAATTATTATAGACCTAGAGATCAAAATGACAGATCTCTAGTTCTTTCCTATCAGCCTAATTACCACAAAAATGGTAAGTAGGGGTTTTCTAACATTTTCTAGTGGACTAGGATTACTCTCCAGTCCACATCATGGAAGTGTGGCTGAACTTTCACGTAAATTAGGAAGAGGAAAAAAGGACCCTCTCCTTTATTTTGAAGACTAGCTTTAAAAGACAAGCAAATAATTTCTTAAAGAAATAATGCAAATGATTTCTTTTGTCTTTGTTCTATCAAAACTATAGGACAATATTTAAAAAAAAATTTTTTTTTTAATTTTATTGGGGCGCCTGGGTGGCTCAGTTGGTTAAGCGACTGCCTTCAGCTCAGGTCATGATCCTGGAGTCCCGGGATCGAGTCCCGCATCGGGCTCCCTGCTTGGCGGGGAGTCTGCTTCTCCCTCTGACCCTCCCCCCTCTCATGTGCTCTCTCTCTCTCATTCTCTCTCTCAAATAAATAAATAAAATCTTAAAAAAATAAAATAAAATAAATTTTATTTATTTATTTGAGACAGAGAGAATGAGAGAGAGAGCACATGAGAGGGGGGAGGGTCAGAGGGAGAAGCAGGTGCCAAATATGATTACTATACCTATTCCTTCACACGGGTAGATTCCTTGCAGGGCTTCCTTCTTACCTTCCAATGCTTGAGCTTGTTCACCTTCTCGGTCCTGGATTATTCTTTTTTTTTAAAGATTTATTTATTTATCTGAGAGAGCTAGAATGAGAGAGAGAGAGAGTACATGAGAGGGGAGAAGTTTAGAGGGAGAAGCAGGCTCCTCGCTGAGCAGGGAGCCCAAAGCAGGACTCGATCCAGGGACTCCAGGATCATGACCTGAGCTGAAGGCAGTCGCTTAACCAACTGAGCCACCCAGGCGCCCCTCGGTCCTGGATTATTTTAAAATTTGAAATATTATCACTGGCAGTACTTCTATCTTTTCTCATTCAACCCATTTTCTTTTTGAGTGCTTACTCTGTGCCAGACTAGCTAGACAGCAGGGAACAAAACAGAAAAGTATCTTGTCCTCACAGAGCTTACCTTCACACTTCTCAGAAACACTAAACTTAGTCTTTTTGTTTTAAAAAATTGTAACATCTCCCAGCAATGACCCATGGCGGGTGGAGGAAGGGGAGACCTGGGCCCCTGGAGAACCTACCTCTCTCATACACATAGCCAACGTTCACAAAACTCAGCAGAGGCGACTTTCCATGCACAGGTGGGATTCTGGGAATGGACTCTATGTCCACGTTTCTTACGGACGGCCATAAAATTCAACTTTTGACTGTCTTAGCATTATTTTCTCACTATGATCTTAATAGGTTTTCTCATTCTCTCTTGAATTTGGGGGGGTTTACTTTAGTTAATGCTGGAGAGCCCAGATGACATCTTTTGCTTCAAGTTCTGTCCAAGTGACCCTAATATCATTGCTGGAGGCTGCATAAATGGGCAGGTAATTACAGATTTTTCCCCCCAGCTATTTATTAATTTAGACAACATTCTGTAATATGTTTTGATTGGTAGTTTTTCTTAAACTTAAGGATACAATTTGGCCGAAGGAAAGTATGCCAATTGTGTGCCAAGAACTGGGGTATATAGATGTGTTAGACATGGTATCAGGGCTTGAGGTGTCCACAGGATAATCTAGTTATAACTGGAAGAAAACTGAGTCAAATCTGTTTGTATTTGTGGAACAGAACCGCATATTGTACAAGATTCCACAGAAGAACAACACAAGCATTAATACTTCTTGGTCGAGAGTCCTCTTCTGACGTTTCTCTAGGAGTAGGAGTTAGGGGATGATCCAGAATTTGAACAGCAATTCACTGGGAAAAATACATATATTACCGAATTTACATATGTATAATTTAATACCATATTTGTTTTCTTCTCTTTTTATCTAATGCATATGAAATTTAGATCCTATCTTCCAATTGCCTATTTCTCCAATAAAGCAAAACAAAAATCTTAAAGCTGTTTTATGATCAGAATTGAAATTCACTGTGACCCAGTGAGTTTGACCATTAACGGTATATGGTCTTTCTGTGTGTGGCTAGGAAAACTTCCTTGTGATTGAAAATTTAAGTGTCTACAGTGCGGATGCCTGGGTGACTCAGTCGGTTGAGTGTCTGACTTTTGGTTTCAGCTCAGGTCATGATCTGAGGGTCATGGGATTGAGCCCCACACCATCAGGCTCCATACTCAGCAGAGAGTCTGCTTGAGATCCTCTCCCTCTCCCCCTCCCCCTCCCCCACAAGCCTTCTCTCTCAAATAAATACATCTTTCTTTTTTTTTAAGATTTCATTTATTTATTTGACAGAGAGAGAAAGAGATAGACACAGAGAGAGCACAAGCAGGGGGCGCAGCAGAGGGAGAGGGAGAAGCAGGCTCTCTGCTGAGTAGGAAGCCCCATGTGGGGCTCGATGCCAGGACCCTGAGATCATGACCTGAACCGAAGGCAGACGCTTAACCATTGAGCCACCCAGGCGCCCCTAAATACATCTTTAAAAAAAATAAATGTCTACAGCATCCATGACCATTTATCCAGAACCAAAACAACCAGGAAAACCATTTTTCCCCCTCAGTTTTGTTCAACAATAACTGGTGGTCATAATGATGACCCAGAGCCCATCCTTCAAGCTCTGCAAATGCTGAAATGCTTTTGTTACTCATTATGAAGGTGATACAACTCTAAGAATATTTTAGAAAAAGGGTGCCTGGCTGGCTCAGTCAAAGAGTATGCGACTCTTGATCTTAGGGCTAGGAGTTCAAGCCCCATGTTGGGTGGTAGAAATTACTTTAAGTAAGTAAATAAGTAAATAAATAAATAAATACTTTTTTAAAAGAATATTTTAGAAAAGCAAATGATGAAAATAAAATCACTCACAATTCTGTAATCCTGACATTATTTAACATTTCAATGTGTTGAAATGACTTTTAATCATTGAAAATTAATCTAATTTCGTGTTGCATATTTTAGTTTACTCTCATTTTTCCAAAAATGACCATCCATGTATATGCAAACTTGGAGTTGGCTAGAACATTCAATTAAGTAGAAATCATCACTTTCCAGCCTTTTTGGACAACTGAGTATTTGTACTACTTCTGGAGAACAGGCAAAGCTGCTCTCCACACAGTCACAGCACATTCCCAAAGACAGAGGAAGAACTCTTCCCAAAGCAGAGGAAATTGCATACGGTTTATACTGGAGTTTAAAAAAAAAAAAATACTAGCTTTTATTAACACAAGCACAAAAATCAAAGTGCTAAAAAATACCTTTATAGAGAAGAAAACATTCTTTGTCATGATTTAAAAGTTGCTGACTTACTAAAGATGTAGGCTAAATTTGATTATCCTTCAAGGTGATTGATTCATCAGAGTGCATGCCAATACCAATAGGTTTTAAAAAATCTTTAAGACCTAATGAGCTATTTCCTGAAAATATGTTGTAATAAGCTTTATTTCTGTTTTAGATTGTCATGTGGGATATTACTGCGCATGCAGATCGCATAGAAAACATCAAGACAGGTGGTAGTAGAAGTAAAAAAGTCACACTCAAGGTTAGCTTTTTATAACTTTTCATTTGCAAGTTTCTTCAGTTCAGGGGTTTATCAAAAAGTACATAACAGAACTGCCAAGCTACACAAAGACTCAATATAGAGGGGAAAAAAGTATTATTTCCCACACCTTCACATCTCTTTGTGGACATGTTCTGAACTGCTTTTGTGTAGGTCCTTGATTCAAAAATCAATAAAACAAGTCGCATGACCTACCTGAGGACATTATTTTTGTCGTTGTTGTTAAATAAAATAAAGGGCCCAAGTGACTTGCCTAAAGTGATGTCATGGAAAGAGCATGGGACAGTAGGACCATGTATGTAGGCTCTGGACTGTAGTCCTGTGAGTTTGGACATGTCTTCTCACCTCAGCAAGCATCAGTTTTCTCATGTGTAGAATGAAGGGGTTACCATCCTTTCTGATAATCATATACTATGATTTTGTGACGCTGTGGTTGCTGCCAAGAGGGTTGAGGCAAGATTCCTGAGCTCCTGACATAGTACTCACCCACAATATTGCAAACCTCTACCCCCAGTTCTTCAATCTGAACACCAATGGGCCTCCACCAAGACCCTGTGGGCGTGGCCCTCTGTGCATGCAGGAAACACTCCTTTAAAAATGGGATCTCCTTGATCCTTTAGGGAGTGGGTCAGTCATTCCTGTTAAGTTTGGAGATGAAACCTTAGACTAAATTGAAGGGAAAGTGCATAATCTTATTACCTAAATACATGATGCATTGAAACACTAGTTTCAATGTTTTTCTTTGAACTAGTATTTCTCCAAGTTATTAATTCTAACTAAAGAGTAAAGTATGAATTCACTCATTAGCTCTCTGAAATTAGCACATAACTTTCTTTTCACATTTTTCCAGCCTATGTTTCTCCTTGAACCAGACAGTAATAAAGAAGCAACATATATCAGACATTGTGCAGTCTCCTCAATAGAAAATGGTCATAAGAAAGTAATTACAGATATACATTGGCTGTCTGACACATTTGAGGTGAGTCTTGATGGTTTCATAATTTTCTCCTGCTGGATTGTACATTTCAGAAGATTTTATTCAAAGAGCAAATTTCAAGTCAATAATTCATTTACTTTTAAATCATAAAAAAGCCAGGAACCAGGGCATCAAACAGTTTTGTCAGTGTTGCCTGGCCAATATCTGACTTTGGGATGAGACTAAGGCCAATGTTTCAACTTCAATGGCTTATAAACCACTAAAAACTGTAGGTGGTGTCAACAATGATATAATATAATAGTGGAGAAGATAAGAGTTTGATATGTAAAGATAGAGTGCAAATATTTTACACCCTGAGGCTTTGTGGATTTAAAATATATAATTTCAGCTAGTTGGAGCAGGCAACTCTGAAGATCTGTGACATATAGTAATGTATTATTTTGTCAAGGCAATTTTGAACTGAATGCACCGTGAGGCTGGTGGGTGAAAACTAATCATGCAGTGAATGAGTCCAGCTGAGTGCCTAGCCTCTGCGTTGTAGTTTGGCTTTGTAGTTCTGTACCTGACTCACTAAGTCTGGTGTTAGTGAATTTGGAAACTGGTAAGCTCCCCAAATGTTTCCTTCAAGGACACTAAGGGTCTACTGTGTACTTTGAGAATATCAAAGAATATTATGACAAAGTAGAGTTATAAAAGGTAATTAGCTCTTCAACATATTCAAATGGATGATGCAAAGCAACAATACTTTTTTTTTTTTTTTTTTAAAGATTTTATTTATTTATTTGAGACAGAGAGAATGAGAGACAGAGAGCACGAGAGGGAAGAGGGTCAGAGGGAGAAGCAGACCCCCGCTGAGCAGGGAGCCTGATGTGGGACTCGATCCCGGGACTCCAGGATCATGACCTGAGCCGAAGGCAGTCGCTTAACCGACTGAGCCACCCAGGCGCCCCGCAAAGCAACAATACTTTTAAAAGTTATAATGGATCACAACAAATAGCCCAGACAGTTTCTATTACCTCTAAGAGTTTAACATAGGGTAACGGAAGGAACTCTCTGTTTCAACTTCATCTCAGCTCACACGGTACACACAAATTAATTCAGATGATTATAAATTTAAATAAAAATAACAAATCATAGGAAAAATATAATAAAAATCAAAATAGAATACCATAGAATATCATATTTCTGGATGGGAGATAGTTTTCTAAGGTAATTAATGTTGAAAGAAATTCAAAACATACACATGTAAATTTCTAAATTTAACAAAGAGCAAACAACAAAATGGAGGAAAATATTGGTCTAAAATATGGTTTCCAGTAAATAAAACATATACTGAAAAACAATTAGTAGATAAACATGAAAATCATTCAGGCTTTCTAATATCAAAGAAATTAATAATAAAGCAACAATAATATACTATTTTGGATCATTTAATTTTTAAATAAAAATTTAATAAATAATAATACCCTGTGTTAGAAAGGATGCAGTGGTGAAACCAGTAAACTCTAACACTGCTGGTTCCAACATAAAACTTTTGGAATACAATTAGTGTGATTCTTAAATCATCCAAATTTTCAACTTTTTGAACAGTAATTCAAATTTTGGGAATTCATATTAAGAAATAATCCAATTTGTGCCTCAAGATACACCGTTACATGCACATCTTAACAAATTATGTCAAAATGTATTCATGAAAAAAGACTGGAAAAGAATATAGGTAGAATTATATTTGATATTAAACCTCCTATTTTCCAAATTTCTATAATATTATGTTGTTGTTGTTGTTTAAATCATTAAAACATAAAAGCTCAGAGCAAGCACACTTCTGAGGTCTCGCACTTTATACAGCAGGGAAGGCTCAGTAGAGGGAGAGGCAACACGGACTCTGGATTCCTTATCAGATGAGTAGAAGTTGACAGCATTTGGGAACCAGAGAGTGTTCAGGCTCCTGTGGCCGTGGCCAGGTTTCCAGGGTCTTAGTTCCTGGGACACCTACTGGCCTGAGCAGGGCAGCCCCTGTTTGCCTCCTCCCACCCGCTACTTCCACTGTTTATTTGCTGCTGGAGCCCCTACCTTTGATTACTATTTTGCTCATCAGTCATACCAGGAAGGTAGGGAATTGGGGAAAGTCATGTCTCCCCTACTGTTTCAACAGTGACACCTTCATAGATTGCCACAAAACCTTTCACCTTGTTTCAAAGTTAGCTAGTTGGAACTTGGGACCTTCTAGGACCCGGAGGAGCCATTAACCCTCCTTGGATTCTTGCCTGTGCCGGGTGATTGTTGGTATCTAATGTTACACTAAATGTTATCTAATGTTACACCTTATCTGCCTAACAATGTCATCAAAACGCCTATGTTCTGTTCCACCATTAATAGTAAAAAACAAAAGACCCTACATTTCTAATTATACTGGATAATGAAATTGTGATACACCATCTATATATTATAAAACTGTTAAAATGACTTACGAGTACACAGGTAAGTGTTCAAATTACATCAACTGAAAAATCTAAGGATAGAAATTTTTATGCATGCTAGTTAAAACTATGTCAAAATGTTTCTGTGAAAAAAAACTGGAAAAATATATGGCCAAATTACATTTTATTTTAAAATTTATTCTTCAAATTTCAGTGATATTGTTATATTCTTTTAATAAAAATTAAAACAAAGAAGAAAATATTAAAAGAGTAAAATGCTATGAGAAAAGCCATTACATCCTAGGTACAAATAAATTACTTCTTGTGTCTTTAAAAAAACAGATTAACAGATTGGGTGCTGTCTTTGAGAATCGAAATGGAATATGCTGTCAACTTGTCACATGTTCAGCTGATTGGTATGTCTTTGTTAGTGTTTCTGGGTCAACTTCAAAGTCAGAGGGGGTGAGGAGGAAGGTTTCCCCACCCTTCTACCAAGCAGTACTCTGGATACCACCTGGGTGTCTCACAACTCCACTTAACTCTGACACTATCCACCAGGACTCACAGGTTAAGGTTCAGTCCTACCCAACTGCTCTCTCGAACACCTCTCCCCTATCACCGCCCACTCCCCTGCCGGCCACCTCAGATGCCAGTCACCTCAGATGCCAGTCACAAACCCAGGTCATTACCTGTACTTCTGACTGACTGGCTGTAGACTGGAGGTTCCCAAGATTCCCTCCATCAGGTTGGATTAATTTGCTAGAGCGGCTCACAGAACTCAGAGAAACATTTTACTTACTAGATTACTGGCTTACTATAAAAGGATGTAACTCAGGAACAGCCAGATGGAAGAGAGGCAGAAAGCAAGGTATGGGGAAAGGTTGAGGAGCTTCCATGCGCTCTCTTGGCTCTCACCCTCCCGGATCTCCACGTGTTCACCAACCAGGAAGCTCTCTGAACCTGGTCCTCCTGGGGCTTTAGGGGGCTTCATTACACAGGTACAATTGATTAAATCTTTGGTCATTGGTGACTGAATTCAATCTCCAGCACCTCTCTCCTCCCTGGAGGTCAGGGGGTGGAACTGAAAATTCCAACTCTCTAATTGCACAGTTGGCTCCATTGACAACCCATCCCCATCCTTAGGTACGGTCCAAAAGTTGCCTCATTACCATAACAAAAGGAATCTTTACCAGTCTCAACTTCTAGGAAATTCCAAAGGTTTTAGAAGCTCTCTTCTAGAATCCTGGAGGAAGAACAGATTTATATATGTTATAATTCACAACATCACAGTCTTATTTTAAACACTACCTAAAATATTTTCATACAATATATTCTTTTTTCTTAGATACTTCTAAAATCATTATCTTTTGTTCCTTAAATAGTCCTTATCGTAGTGATTAAACCTGATATTAACAAAAGGGCAGAATATTATAGATTGTTGCTGGTTGAAAAAATATTTTTATAGATACAAATATGTTGTAAAAAGAATACATATATGTGTACACACCCACCCACAAACAACTATATCCTATACTACAGGTAGTAAGTAATAAAGTTGCTGGGGCGCCTGGGTGGCTCAGTTGGTTAAGCAACTGCCTTCGGCTCAGGTCATGATCCTGGAGTCCCTGGATCGAGTCCCTGGATCGAGTCCCACATCGGGCTCCCTGCTCAGCAGGGAGTCTGCTTCTCCCTCTGACCCTCCCCCCTCTCATGTGCTCTCTCTCTCATTCTCTCTCTCTCAAATAAATAAATAAAATCTTTTAAAAAAATAAAAATAAAAATAAAAAAATAAAGTTGCTGAATCAAAGAAAGAGCTGACTCAAGCCTCAGAAACAGCCCCAGGGATTTGGGTAGCAGGAATAAATGGCCAGCCCCTTCCATCTGAATGAATCAGTTCCAACCTGACTTCTGTTACACCACAAACTCACCCCTTTGGCCAAGGAGGGAATGGCCAGGCACCCTGAGTGACAGTTCCAACCTGACTGCATGGAATGGGGAAGGGATAGTTCCCCCCCAAAACAAAACAATTAGAATGCTCTTGCTAAAAAATAAAAGAGCATGAGGGTGGGGGGATTATTGCCCAAAAGGGCCACCAATAGGGCCATATGGAATATTATACAACAAGTAAAATTGTAATGATTTCATGGCGCAATGTTTATGGTATGAAGTTGATTATAAACAACAGAATGCAAAGCTATACTCTTCTTCAATAGCCTTGGAAAACATTTAGAAACACTGAACAGACTTAAAATATTACATGTTTTTTAATTTAAGTCACAGGTCCTTGATTGTTGGTTATAATGATGGCCCTTGAATTTAGAAATATTCTAGAATATTCTGGAGATAATTCCTTCAAAAGTTGTTAAAGTAAAAAAAAAAAAAAAGCTTATGCATTTAGAAAAGCTAACTTTTAGTTATTTGGAAAACTTACCAGTTCTAATCTTTATACCTCAGCCATGCCAAGGTTCTTATAATATAGAATAAGGTAAAATAAGGATCTATTAATAAAGAATATGTGACTGAACAAAAGAATGTTACTCAGCCATAAAAAAAGAATGAAATCTTGCCATTTACGTCAACATGGATGGATCTAGAAGGTATAATGCTAAGTGAAATAAGTCAGTCAGAGAAAGATAAATACCATACAATTTCACTATCCTATGTGGAATTTAAGAAACAAAAACAAACAAACAAAAAAACGCTCTTAACTATAGAGAACAAGCTGGTGGTTACCAGAAGGGAGGTGGATGGGGGGATGAATGAATTAGGTGAAGAGGATTAAGAGTACACTTATCATGATGAGCACTGAGAATGTATAGAATTGCTGAATCACTATTTTGTACACCTGAAACTAAATATAACATTATATGCTAATTATACTGGAATTAATAAATTAATTTTTAAAACCCCCCAAAAGAATATGTGATTAATTTATGCAGAAAGTTCAACTGAAGTTATCTGTATTTAGCAAAATCATTTCTTTCTTTTTTTCAAAAATTTTTTAAAGATTTTATTTATTTATTTGAGAGACAGACAGAGAGCACAAGCAGGGGAAATGGCAGAGAGCATAAGCTCAGACTCCTCGCTGAGCAAGGAGCCCGATGGCCGGCTCAATTCCAGGACCCCAGAATCATGACCTGAGCCAAAGGCAGATGCTCAACCAACTGTGCCACCCAGGCGCCCCTAGCAGAATCATTTCATGAATAATGCAAATTAATGCTATAAATGAGATTCAAGATCTTTCTAATTTGGAAAAACAGTTTTAAATCAACTATAATTGTAGTTTAAAACAGATCTTTTTGTGTCATTTGTGGTGTTCTCTCAAGGATTTATATTTTGACAACATAAAAATGATTAATACTTTCAACAATTCATTAAGATGAATAAATGATTAATATTTATTAAGTCACATAAATGAATAAAAGTTTTGTTAGTCTTACTTGAGCTACTAACCATTTATCTAAATACTTACACACCTAAATTCTTTAATAATATCTTAAGTTTATTAATCAGGTTACTCATAACCTCAGTGATAGAAATAATAGAGCTAATACAGCATGTCCTTTGCCATCCTCATCATATGTTTTCACATAATTAATACAGTCACTTTTATACTAAGATACTATATAAGTATCATTATAAATGTGTTACCAAGTTTATTACATTTAAAATTATACTCTATAGATGTGTGGAGCTTTATAAAGAATTTTCATATACATTATCTCATTTGGTTTTTATAGTCAACCTGTAAGGAAGGAGAAATAACCTTTATTGGATGCTTACTATGTACAAAGCACATTAAATCCAACATTGCCTGTGTATGTATTGTTTTCCCAATGAATATACATATATTTATGTTATACATATTATATGTTTATATTATATATTATATTTGCATTATATATTTATATATATTTATAATATATAATATGTGGTTATATATCATGTCTCTTGTATATGACACCAAAAACACAAGCAATAAAAGAAAAAAGTTGAAATTCATCAAAATTTTTGTGTTTCAAAAGGCCCTATCAAAAAATTGAAAAGACAGTCCACAGAATGGAAGAAAATATTTGCAAATCATATTTCTGATTAAAAATTTCTATCCAGAATATATAAAACTCTTACAACTCAACAATAAAAAGACAAATAACCCAATGTAAAAAGGAGCAGAGGTTATCAATAGACAGTTTCCCCCAAAAAATATACAAATGGCTAATAAGCACATGAAAAGATGTTCAACATTAGCTATGAGGGAAATGCAAATCAAAACCACAATGAGACCTAAAATAGCCAAAGCAATAATCTTGACAAAGAAGAACAAAGTTGGAGGACTCACACTTCCTGATCTCTAAACTTTCTACAAAGTTACAGCTAGAGACGGATGTACTGACACTGGCATGAGGATAGACATAGAAATCATAGAGCTCAGAAATAAACCCATATGTCTATGGATGACCAATTTTCAACAAGGGCACAGAGACAATTTAATGAAGAAAGATTAGTCTTTTCAACAAATGGTGCTGGGACATCTAGATATATGCAAGCAAAAGAATGAAGTTGGACCCTTACCTCATACTGTATAAAAAAATTAACTGAAAACGGAATAAACACCTAAATGCAAGATCTAAAACTATGCAACTTTTAGAAGAAAACATAAACAAATAAAAGCATAAATGTTCATGACCTTGGATTAGATAGTGATTTCCTGCATATTACATCCAAAGCACAACCAAATGCAAATCTAAATCAATTTTGATGAGACTCCACCTCCCCCACTAGGATGGCTATAATAAAAAAGACAAAAAGTAGCAAGTGTTGGCAAGGATATGGAGAAATTGGAATCCTCACACATTGCTGATGGGAATATAAAAATAACACAGTTGCTTTGGAAAACAATCTAGCAGTTCCTCAAAAGATCAACCACAGAAATTACCATATAACCCAGCAATTACACTCTTCAGTGTATACCCAAGAGAAATGAAAACATGCATCCAAACAAAACTTATACACAAATGTTCAAAGCAGCATTATTCATAATAGTCCATCAACTGATGAATGGATAGACTGTGGTATATCCTAAACAACAGAATATTATTTGGCAATACAAAGAAATGATACACTGATATATACTACCACATAGATGAACTCTGAAAATATGCTAAATGAAAGGAGCCAGTCACCAAAAGCCACATATTGTCTGATTCCATTTATATGAAATGTCCAGAATAGACAAAACTATACAGACAGGAAGTAGATTAGTACTGTCTAGGGCTGGTGGGATGGGCTGGGGGACAGTGAGGAGTGACCGCCAATCTGTACAAGGTTTCTTTTGGGGGTGATAAAAATCTTCTAAACTTAATTGTGGTGATGGTTGCATAGCTCTGTGACTATATTAAAAACCATTGAATTGTGTACTTTCAGTGGGTGAATTTTGTGCTATATGAGTTATATCTTAATAAAGTTGTTAAAAAGATGGTGCTAAAAAATGCTGAAAAAATGCTGAAAAAGATGCTAAAGAAAAAGATGGTGTCAATCTCCAAACTCAGTTCTCATATATGATAATATTAGTGTCAATACCAGCAGGCATCAAATAACCCTATAAACTGTATAATTCTCTAAAATATAAAATGCAAAACAATCCCATGTCATAAAAATCTTAGTTTCAGAGATATTAAGATACAGCCATGATCACATTGCTTATGTATAGCAGCATAAAGTATGGTAGTTCTAAGGCTACATCTCTTACTTACACTAAATAAAATGTGAATTTTTTTAAAGCACAATATGTTTTTGGGATATCAGACCACAGAAAGCTTTAACCCCACAATTAATAGAGAAAAAGAAAGAAGAACATATTGAAATTCCTTTGGATGTACCATCTACTTTTTTGCATCTCGATCTCTCCTGGAAACCTCTCACGAAGGTAAGTAACATGCAATTTAGTCCATTCTATTTGCTTGCATATACACTTATATTTGCATATACATACATATATATACACACACTCTAGAAGTAGAGCAGCTCAAATAAACACAGGACTTTATAATTAATGTATTCATTTAACCAATAAATTCTTTTATTGAGAATTATTATGAGGCCTGCCTAGGTCAAGCCAGAAATCACAATTTTTGTGAACTCAAGATTGATATTTGTTCATGTATAAGCATGCCCCAACTTACTAATGGTTAGTATAATAATTATGCATTTGCATATGCAGTTGCTTGTAAACCAGTAGGCTCTCAGGTTAGCCTGGAAAGCTAATTTTAATCTCTAATATAGGCAAAATTCTGCATATTTTTCATGTAGTAGGAAACAGTATTTTAATATCTATGACCAAACAAAAGTGAAAGTAATTGAAAGAGAAATTATTTGTACTTTTCTTGAAAGGCAGAGCTTTGAAGAAAAGCAATTTTAATTTAAGAAAGATATGGCTGTGGATGGAATATGTGTGGAAAGTATGAATGGGCTTCTGACATTGATGACCCTCTTTTTTTTAGAATGTCTAGTTCCAATTCCAAACTTAAGATTTAGTCCCTTATTTTACAAGTATCACTAGAATTATATTACCATGTATTTGCTCCAAATGGAAGAGAAAACACAGAGGGATGAGAATATTCCAGAAGGAGCTAGGATTAGAAATTAGAAATTAGAAAGAGAGGATGAGGAATTTTCTGGGGTAGGATTTACCAAGCTGTAAACTGTTTAAAAAGAAGTGAGCAAACAGAAACTTACCTGGGAATAATTGTCAGCATGTAGACAAATGTCCTGATGGAGAAATGTGGGGCAGAAGTTGTGAGGGAAAGTATAAAGAATGACAGCTTCCCATTCTGGTGCAGACCCAGGGCCACTTCTGGAACTCAGGGGCACGTGTGTCCCCAAGGTGACTCAGCAGTGCCTGGCAGATGAAAAGACCCCACACAACTTTCTGGAGCTTCATTTAAGTGAAAGATGTAGGAACCAGGAGAATAAACCATTATTTTATATTAAAACCAAAAAGGATGTATTATGAACTAGAATACACAATATTTTCAGAAATTAAACAGGATTTGGAAATGAGCCCCTGGACAAGCTCCCTTCGACTGCAGGGTTTTATTTTTATTTATTTATTTATCTTCAAAGATCTTATTTATTTATTTGTCAGAGAGAAAGAGAGAGCATGCACAAGCAGGGAGGAGGGGCAGAGGGAGAAGCAAGAAGCCTGACTCGGGGCTTGATCCCAGGACCACGGGATCACGACCCAAGCCGAAGGCAGACACCCAACTGACTGAACCACTCAGGTGCCCCAAGTTGCAGGGTTTTAGAGACTGTGGTTTAGGCACTGTCTGTGGGGTAAAGCAACTAGGAATCTGATGGAGAATGGAAAAGAGACAAAGGGAGGGAGGGAGGTGGGAAACAGCCATCTGGGGGCGGAAGGAGAAGACAAGAATAAGTCACCCACAGGGTATATGGAAATAATCTTTCTTCTATGTTTTCCCAAAAGATAAGGCTGTCTAAAGGTGAAACAAGTTTAGACCACTGCCCAACCAAGATCAGCCTGAGTGAAGATAATCTCCTTTACAAAGCACAAGGTAACTGCCTTTGCTTATTAAAATGGCATGTAATAGTTTGAGTACTAGTGATTCCTAATGTCCAGGGTGCGTTACTTGCTAAGATAGTCTGATTTGTAAAAAGAATACAGAAAACCAAACCCTCCAATATGGAACTTTATAATGGCTATAATAACTATAAGGGCGCCTGGGTGGCTCAGTAGGTTAAGTATCCATATCTTGATTTGGGCTCAGGTCATGATCTCGGGGTTGTGAGATAGAGCTCCACATTGGGATCCTCACTGGGCATGGAATGTGCTTGAGATTCTCTCTCTCCCCCTCCCCCTCACTCCTCAAAAAACAAATACACACACACAAAACTATAGCCAACACATTAAAACTGCCTATATACACACACACAAAGATTTGATGACAGAATTCAGTTTAGTTTGGTTTCATAAACATTTATTGAGTATATTTTTGAGAACTCATTACATTAGAAAAAATTTTACAAAGCTGTCCTAATAAATATGGATGTGCTCGAAGTATAATTCTATAGAATGGAACATATCTCGAGTCTAACAAAGTAAGTTATGAAGTATAAGAAATAAATTACCATTCCCAGCCAGAATATAATAGAAAAATTAATATTTGTACAGCAACATGATAAAATAGAGAAATAACAATTGCCTTTTACATCTGTCTCAACTCAACCCCTACACCTTTGTTGAAGTAACTGAAGGGTACACATACAAATGTCAAAACTATTAAAATAAAGGTGTTCGTGAATATCCCACCCGAGAGCAATGCACAATGAAAATGTAGAAGAATCACTAGAAACTGAAGTACTTTCCAACTATTTGCCTTGTCAAATGGATTTCCATTTATAAATTGTTGAATGTTCAGTTAAGTGATAGAATATCTCGTAAAAAACATAATATGTATCTAATACCCTGCTTGGGCAAAACTCACTTTGAAGCTGTGTGTTTCATAGATACAACCCAAGACCTCATGCTAAAAGAAAAAAAAAAATGTTTATAGACCTTTTCTAAGCACTATTAAAACATTGCATGTTTTTTATGTATTTGGGCCTGCTTCATTTCAGAAGGAATGGAAGGTGAGTTCTCTCCACTTCTTCGTAGTCAACTGTCAGCTGCAATTTATTGAATTTCGGCCATGAGTTAGGTACTGTGCTAATTAATACTGCACATGCTTTCATTCATTTACCAGGTATTTATAAAGTGCTTATCTTATGCTAGGCCCTGAGGGTGCAATGGTGTGTAAAACAGATGCTTAATGGTCATGACAACCCTGCAAACTGGGAATTTTCATTACCATTTTATGATTAAGGAAACCAAGATGAGAGAGGTTATGTGCCGTGGGTGGTTCAGTTGGTTGAGCAACTGCCTTTGGCTCAGAGTCCTGGGACTGAGCCCCAGGCTGGGCTCCCTGCTCATCGGGGAATCTGTGTCTCCCCCTCCCCCTGCTCCTGCTCTCTCTCTCTCTCAAATAAAGTCTTTAAAAAAAAAAAAAAAGGAGTAACTCATTAAATGCCCTACTCTTTTTAAATTAATGAAAAAAGATGATCATGAGGATCTTACTGCTTTTATCCAGTTGATAGTAAGGATATCACTATATCTTTTAAAAGTGTGTTTTTCTCCTTATTCACTTTCAACAAGTTTATTGAGGTATAATTGACATACAATAAAATGTAATGTTTTCAACACAGGGCTATTACATATACATATGTGTATATACATATGTACGTGTACATATACATGCCTTTGTATGGACATGTGCTTTTATTTGCTTGGGTAAATACCTAGGAACGGGATGATTAAATCATGTGGCAGGTGTATGTTTAACTTTTTAAGAAACTGCCAAAGTGTTTTACAAAGTGGTTATACTATTTTACATTCCAACAAGCCATGCAGGAGAGTTCCAGTTTTTCCACATTCTCATGAACAGATGGTATGGCTAGTCTTTTTAATTGAACTATTCTAAAATGGGTGTAGCGATATCTCATTTACATTTACCTAATGACTAAAGATGTTGAGCATATTTGCATGTATTTTTTTTGCCTCTCATATATATATATATATCTTTTTGGGTGAAGTGTCCGTATCTTTTACCCATTTTTTAGTTGTGCTGTTTTTTTATTATTGAGTTTTCAGAGCTCTTAACATATTCTGCATACTAGTCCTTTATCAGATATGTGATTTGCAAATATTTTCTCCCAGTCTGTGATTTTCACTCTGTTAAAATATTGTGTCAGGGCACCTGGGTGGCTCAGTCGGTTAAGCATCTGCCTTTGGCTCAGGTCATGATCCTGGGGTCCTGGGATTGAGCCCTGCGTTGGGCTCCCTGCTCAGCAGGGAACCTGCTTCTCCCTCTCCCTCTGCCCATTTGTGCTCTCTCTCCATCTGTCAACTAAATAAATAAAAACTTTTAAAAAATTATTAAGTGTCATTCTCCTAACACTGTCTTTTGAAAAGCAGAAGTTTTTAATTATGAGGAAGTCCATTTTATCAGTTTGTTCTTTCATGGGTCATGATTTTGGTTTTGAATGTAACCAAAGATTGGGTTTTGTTTTTTTTTTTCTAGGAGTTTTATAGTTTTATAACTAAGTTTATGATCTTCATTGAGATGATTTTTTTCTATGCACAAATTATGAATCAGAATTCATTTGTGTGTGATGTTCCAGCACCAGTGGCTAAAAACACTATCCTTTTTCCACAGGATTGTTTTTGCACCTTTGTCAAAAATCACTTGTCCAAATATGTGAGAGTCCATTTCTGAACTCTCTCTTTTGTTCTGTTGATCTGTGTCTGTCTTTACACCAATACCGCACTGTCTTGATTACTGTAGTACTAAAGGCTTGAAATTAGTGCTAGTCCTTCAACTTTTTTCTTTTTCAAAGCAGTTTTTGACCATTCTAGGTTTTTTGTTTTCCCATGTGAATTTTGTATCTTTTGTCTTGCATAAGCCTCCTCTGACTTTGACTGGTAAATCAGTATTACAAGATCAGTATTAACAAGAATTTGGCATCTGCAATATAGAGTCTTTCAAGTCATTACTAAGGTATATCTCCCCATCTACTTAGGTCATTAATTTCTCAGTGATGTTTTATAGTTTCCAGTGTACAGGTCTTTCACTTCTTTTGACAGATTTGTCCCTAAGTCTTTCACATTTTTTGGTGCTCTAGTAAATGGTACTTCCAAATTTTTAATTTCTGATTGTTCATTACCAGTGTATAAAAATACAGTTGATTTTTGAGTATTTATTTTTATCCTACAATCTTCCTAAAATCACATTGGTTATAGTGGCTTGTTTGTAGATTTATTTGGGTTCTCTATATAGATGATAATGTCATTTGGGTTCTCTATGTAGATGATAATGTCATCTGTAAATAAGGACAGTTTTACTTCTTTTCTGATCTGTATGATTTTTTTTCTTACCTGATTACACAGCTAGAAACCTCAGGATGCAAAGTGGTTAGAGAGCATTCTTGTTTTATTCCAGATCTTAGGGAGAAAGCATTTAGTCTTTCCCCATTAAGTATGATGTTAGGCTGTAGGGTTTTTGTAGAGTCCTTTATCAGGTTGAAGAAGTTCCCTTCTATATACCAATTAATGTTGGGTTTTGTCAAAAGATCTCTCTGCATTTTTGGAGATGATCATATGCTTTTTTTTTTCCTTTTTAAACTTATTAATATGGTGAATTACTTTGATTAATATCTGAATGTCAAACTAGCCCTGGATTCCTGGGATAAACTCCACTTGGTTGTGATTTAGTAATTGTAATCCCTGAATTTTTTAAGGAACAATTTTTACACTGTTATCTCTATACTTATATCGGCATTTATTCAAGACACGTATTAACTCTTGCAAAGTGCTAGGCTCTGAGGATATAGCTGTGAAAAGATAATTCCCTGCTTCTGTGGAGCTTACCTTCCGGTGTGATAGATACACGTCTATATCCACTTAAGGAAGGACCTATCTAAAATGAATCTTGAAGCATGACCCAAATGTCATCAAACAGGAATACTCCCCATCCAATGAATGCTCTCTTTCCAGACGAAGACATTTTGTGGATATTTCTTAGAGAAAGGTATACTGGCTAAATCAGTTCATAAAGGGAATGGACATAATTTTTTAGATTCTCAGCTGAGACTGTGGTTGGCTACATCCCTTTACGTGTGTTCAGAAGTCTGTGTGCAGGCAATCCCACAAGTCCTGGAGAAAATTAAATTTCACTTGGTAATCTCAATGGATCTTGCTAACACATGTGTCTTATCACTAAAGGCAGTTACTGCGGTCATGACCTGCCTCTTGTGTAGATGGTCAACTCTGAGAGCTTTATCTGAAATCTCATTATGGTGTTTTAAATCTCCTTAGGACACACTTCCAGCCCTGTATCTACTCTGGCCAGAGTTGAACCTATTGACTAGAATACACTCGTATGTTTCTTGACCACATTTTGTTTATTGACCCTATATTGGTTCTCCTTCGACCTTCCACCAAGATTCCTAGTTCACGCTATTCCACCATCACCCTCTCGAGACCTCTCTCCAGCTGTCTGGTGCTGTGTTGCCACCTAGTGGCTGTAGGCCACGTGGCTCTCACCTGCCATGTTCAATCCGAGATAGTCCGTGCCCTTCTGAGCACTCACTTTCAGATGTTTATTCTGTTGAGGAAGACTTTGCTCTAAATGTTTTTGGAATTCCTATTTTGGAATTGCCTTCAGAGCCTCCGTTACATTCTTCTGAGCACCGTGGCATCGTAGCTAAGGATGTGGATTCTGGAGTTTGGTTTTAAATCCTAAAGCCACATTTATTATTTGACGAGGTCAAATTACTGTACCTCTCTGTGCCTTCCTTTTTTTAATAAACTTGTTTGAAAAGAGAGAGGTGAAGATAAAGGAAGTAAATAATGAAGGTAACTACCTCATGGAGTATTGTGAAGATAAAATGAGTTAATACATAGACAGCTCTAACAGCTCTTTGTCATCCTTGAAGGAGAATTAGTGCTTAACCACCTCAGGAGTTACTGTGAGGATTGAGTGAAACGGTGCATGCGGAGCACACAGTTCAGTACCCAGCATGTAGTCACGTAGTAAGCATTTAGTAAATGTTAGCTGCTGTTAGTATTCCAGGCCCTCCCTGGTGATGGAAATCCATGGATGGATTCCGTGAGGATGATGCTGAATTTAATAAATATGCAGGATATTCCAGTTGAGTCTGAGTAAATACAGTAATCACATTTTTCTCTGGCCTCATTCTCTTTAACTGCACCACAGTAAACTCTATCAACTAAGCCCTTTTTCTAGGAGCTCCTGCCTTGGCTTTTGCGGTTTTCCTGATACCTCTTCAGTTTCCCTCCTCGGTCTCCTTTCCCTGCTGCCTTCTCATCATAAATGTACCTCAGACTCTAACTTCAGCAGTGTTCTTTCCTCTTTACTCACCCGTTTTGGTAACTTGGTCCACTCTTACCCTGTTGACAATCCTCCACCTTGCCCCTCGCTATCTCCTGGGTTCCAACCCAAACTATTCCCTCAGTGTCAGTGTGTCCAGAACAGAACTTGGGTCATCCCTGTCTCTCTCCTCAGGTCCCGACAGGATAACTAGGTCTTCCTTTACAGCACATCTCACGTTTGCCTCTTCCTTTGCATCACCTGTACTGACCCCTGGAGCAGGCTCTTGGCTCCCCTTGTTAGACCAGAGAGCTCCAAACTCTTCCATCTTGCTCCCCTCAGGAAACATTTTTAAGCACATATTTGCAATGAGCATGTATTTATCTACAAATTATATGCATGTTCTACTCTACTAATATGATATACTCTACTAATACTAATTATTAATGTATATTATTTAAAAAGAGAAAAACAGACATTGAAATGAGAGTGAAGAATTGGACATAAACAATATCTTTTAGTAAGAACAATGTGGGGGCACCTGGGTGGCTCAGATGGTTAAGCCTTTGCCTTCGGCTCAGGTCATGATCTCCATGTTCTGGGAGTCTGCTTCGCCTTCTCCCTCTGTTTCTCCCCTCTGCTTCTGCTCTCTCTGTCTCTGTCTCACTCTCAAATGAATAAATAAAATCTTTTTTTAAAAAAAAAGAACATTGTGATTAAACGTACCTAGTTATTTCTTGAAATGTTGATTGACACTTTGTAATACAGCTATTTAAAAGTCTGGTTTCATGTTTGGCTTATTTCAATACTAGTTTTTGATGTCTTACTTATGGGAAGGGATCTACAGGCCCAAAGCATGTAGATCTCTAATAAAGGAAGTGCCGGTTGATTGTACCAACAAAGTCATTAATTGTTTTGTTTTGTTTTGTTTTGTTTTAAGATTTCATGTATCTATTTGACAGAGAGAGAGCCAGCTAACTGACTGAGCCATCCAGGTGCCCCTCATAACTGTTTTTTACTTTTGTCCATAATTATGCTATATTTTTTTAGATGGAATGTATATCTTTAGTAGACCTGAGGTTTTTTTTTCTTCAACATTTTTATCATGTTATGTTAATCACCATACATTACATCATTAGTTTTTGATGTAGTGTTCCATAATTCGTTGGTTGCGTATAACACCCAGTGCTCCATTCAGTACGTGCCCTCTTTAATACCCATCACCAGGCTAACCCATCCCCCCACCCTCCCCTCTAGAACCCTTAGTTTGTTTCTCAGTTTTTTTCTATTTTAGTTTTCATTTATATGTTTGTTTGTTGGTTTTTATGTTTGTTTGTTTGTTTTCCCATGGGTGATATAACCTAGATGATGATATATTGAAATGTGGTGAGTAGGGTTCCCAGAAATTTAATATCACATTTTTTTAAAACTAATAAGTGACCTGGGAATATGCCCAAGATAATATTTTTAAGAGAACAGAAAAGCAGGATACAAAGCTAAAAGACCCAATTAAAAGAAAATCTTTATATATTCACAGAACATATATATATATATATAGAGAGAGAGAGAGAGAGAGAGAGAAATGTAATTATAGGGAAATATTTTAGTAATAGTTTTCTCTGAGAAATATGATAATGGATGATTTTTGTTATTTTCCTCATGCTTTTCTCTATTTTCCAAAGCTTCAGTAAATAACATTTACTATTTTTAGCTCATAAAAAGACTTTTGTTTTAAAACAAGATGACATCAGATACTTTTAAAAACAAAGAATTTCCAGATGGTGTTTGAATTTTAGCTCCCATATTTACTATGCTCTGTTTGCATGTATAGTTATAGCTATAATAGAGTACAATCACTGATGTTCTTAAGTAATATACATGAGCTAATCAGAAAACCTTAAATTCTGTTCCATACATGTACTGTGCTTATGAAAAACAAATAATACATTTTAGATGGATTTATTTTTTTAGAAGTTAGATCATTTTTGACACTTAAAAGGCTAATCTTGAATTATTTGAAAAAAATTTCCATATGATGCCAACTGAATAAAAATGACACGAGTTTCTAATTAGAGAGTCTTACTGAGAATATCAAGAGTAATGTAATCCAGAGGATATATTTCATATCCAATTTTTACTGTAAATAATTCTGATATAAATGATGTAGAACTGGTTTTTAAACTGTGTGCCATAGAACTTTTTAGAGCCCTTGAAAGTAGGTAAAGGGGTCTCCCCCTTCCCACCAGGAAACACTTTAATCACAGCAATGCAGGTTTTGATAAATTTTACGTGCAAGGGTTCCTGCATATGCTTTGGTTTGAAAAAAGTGTTCTACTGCTAAATTAGAAGTCTAAAGATATTTATACTTATGCTTACCACGCTGGGGAGGGAATGGGGCAGATGTGTGTAGCAAGGGACAGAAAAAATAAACTAACCATATTTTAAAAGGTCTTTCACTGTAAATATGTGTTTCTTCTATTCATACTCCTCCAAAAGACAAAATATTAGCCCAGAGCAAAGCAGTGAAGGCGGGAGAGATGAACCCATACCACAATCTGGAAGCTGGGTTGGCCAATCATCTCAAGCCATTAGAAGACTTCTGCACAAAGTTCTTTGTGGGAACAGAGGTGAGTTAGAATTATCTGCTCTTTTACATATACATTATATATATGAAGTCTATATATATATATATTATATATATATATGAAGTCTCTATATATAATGTATATGTATATACTATATAGAAGAGAGTCTTCATTATATATATTCTTAATTTCAGCCTTATTGAGATATAACTGACATAAAATTGCAAGATATGTAAAGTGTACATCATGGTGATTTCATGTATGTATACATTGTGAAAGGCTTCCCCCATATAATTAATTAACACATCCATCACTTCACATACTTATCTTTGTGCCTGTGTGTGTGTGATAACATTTAAGTTATATTCTCTTAGGAAATTTCAATTATACAATAGAGTGTTACACTGTAGTCTCCATGTTTTACATTATATCCTCAAAACTCACTAATCTTACATCTGAAAGTCTGTACCCTTTTACCAGCCTCTTCCTATTTCTCCCACCCCCCACCCCTACCTGGCAACCACTTTTCTCTATTCTGTTTCATTACAACATTTACTGCACATTTGCTTTATGAAGGTTTATAATATTTATACCATTCCCATTTTTTAATATACTTATTTGCATTGAATTTTTTAATCTTGATGCTTCATAGATTCATATTTAAAATGTTCCTGATGAATGTGAAAAAAATCTATAAAATTTGGTATGATCCTCTTTACTAATGATTTATTGATCAACCTGCAAATATTTATTGAACACCCACACCATATAGAAGAAACCATGCTAAATATTAGAGCCCTACTAAGAAAATATATTGCTTTGTTAGCTAGCAAAATGTAGTAGCAGAACTCACTCAGTTCAAAAGATAAGTAACAACTGGATATAATAATGATAATGGCTGCCATTTTTTGGCACCTACTATAATAACCAAAGTGAGCTTACATTTATTGGACATTTTCTATATAGCAGGGTCTGTGCCAGGTATTTGTTCCAAATTATATCTCATTTAATCCTAATAATCTTGTAGGGATTAATCTTCACTTGCAGATGAAGAAATGAGGCTCAAAACTTTATCTATGGCCATACAGAGACAGAGATGTCTTTTTCATTCATAACTCTATTTCCCTGAAATAAAGGGTTCTCAAGAGCATACTGCCCACCAGGCACAGCACTAGGCCCTGGATCAGACATGAATCAACACACAGTCCCTGTCCTCAGGGCACTCACTGCCTAGATAAGGAGCGAGACATTAACGGCATTATCCATGCCAATGCCCATCTAGAAGTCACGGGGACAGGACAGGGGAGATCGGGGAAGGCAGACTGTTAGCTGGCTGGACTTTGGAGGTTGAGGAGGCATCTGAAAGATCAGAGTACAATTCCCAGCAGAAGTAACAGCCTGAACAATACTTTGGAATTATGGAGGCTTAGGATTTGCCTGGAGATAGTGGAATCACTTGTGCAAGAGGGAATGCTATACCTTGAATGCTAGGTTGGGATCCAACCAAAGAGCCTTTTCTGCCATGTTAGGGAATTTGAATTACATTTGGTGAGCAGTGAGGCATTTACCAAACAGATACTTGTTTTATAATTTGGGCTTTCAATTTTTTATAACTTGGGCTTCTAATTTTTTTTTTTAATTCTGGAAAAATATAAATAACAAGTTACCATCTTAACAAATTTGAAGCGTATAATTCAGTGTTATTAGATATATCCATATGATTGAGCAACACTCACAGCCATCTATCTCCAGAACGTTTTCATCATTCCAAACTGAAATTCTGTACCTGTTAAAACAATAACTCACCATTCCCTCCTGCCCCCAGCCCATGGCATCCACCATTCTACTTTCTGTCTCTGTGACTTTGACTACTCTAGGTACCTCATGTAAGTAGAATCATATATTTGTCTCTGTGCACACCAGAGTTTTGTTTTTGTTTTTGTTTTTTTTACAGATTTTTTTATTTATTTTTTGACAGAGAGACAGCAAGAGAGGGAACACAAGCAGGGGGAGTGGGAGAGGGAGAAACAGGCTCTCCGCGGAGCAGGGAGCCCGACACAGGGCTTGATCCCAGGACCCTGAGATCATGACCTGAGCCGAAGGCAGATGTTTAACTGACTAAGCCACCCAGGTGCCCCCATACCAGAGTTTTTAAAGCAGGGGCTGACAGCTTTAGGAAGATGAATGACCACAAGATCTTAAAACAGAAATTAAAGTATGACACCCTGTACCTAAACTCTTCAGTGACAACTCAGTCAAACATGAACAAAATCCAAACTCTTCACACTGTGACCTACAAGATTCTGTGTAATTTGGCTCTTTCCTATCTCTCTACCCCATCTACACCAATCTCCCTCTCTCCTTCCAGCTGCTTTGATTTTTCTCTTTTTCTACCCCAAACTCTTTCCTGCCTTTTGAGCCCTTGCCCTCCTTAGAGTTAACTTAATCCATCACTCAGCAGATATTGCAGATACTTATTGAGCATGTACTATATGTCAGGCACTGTTCTTGGCCCAGGGAATAGAGCAGTGAACAAACAGACAAAATTCCCTACCCTCATGGGCTGACATTCCGGGGGAATGCTCTTCTACCAACACCTGACATGGCTGATCCGTCTCCTTTGGTTAGAGAGAATAAGGGAGACCTCCCCGGGTTCTAGACTGGCTAGTGCAGGGCTGAAGCAGGAGGGAGTGGAGGCAAGAAGGTGGACAGGCCAGCCAGGCAGTGATTTCAAGGGGGCCAACCCAGAGATGAAGAGGGCATGAGCAGTGGGGCCAAGAATGTCAACATAGGGGAGGAGGAGGAGGAGAATTCTCAGCACCGGGAACTGGATGGAGGAGTAGGAAGGGAAGGTCCCAGCTAGGTGGCTGCCGAGAGAATGGGCGCTCAACACATGTGGATGAACCTGGTTCAAGCTACTCCTCTGTGACTTGGTTCTGTTTGGTGTTGCACGTATCCATTGTGAGACCCAGGAGATATTAGTGACTCTTACAGGACTCTGGTGGAGGCTGGGTCACATATAGAAAGTTCCTAACAGCGGTGGCAAACACCGTGGGCTCACTCATGATAAGGGTGGGTGAGGTGTCACAGCCAACAGGGGAGGTATGTGCACTGGACGCGGGCTGGTCTGTGCTCCCTCGGCCTCGGCACCACCAGTGGAGAGTGGAGGGGGGGCTTGTCCTCTGACTCTGAATTTCCAACACCAAACACAGTCCTTGTTTGTTACGTGTGTTCATGAATAAAAGCACAGATGAGGGAATGAGTGGGCGCCGGCCAGATGTTTCCCCTGTCCTCTCCCTTGCCTACACATCCCAAGCCATCCTCCCAGGCCTCTCAACTCCTCTTTTTATACACCCTCCTCTGTGTTTTCCTTTTATCACCCAGAAAGAAAAACACTGAAATTAGGAGCCTGCATCTGGGTGATCCTGAATAAGTCACTTAACCTCTCTGAGTCTCCGTGTTCCCTCTGTTAGATGGGTCATGGGACTAAAGGTTTTCTCTAAACCTCTCCCACCTCTGCTGTTCACGGGTTCTGTATCTTTTCCCTGTGTGTGGCTGTTTCTGCCCCTTTACACCAGGTCCCCCTGCCTTCCCGTCTCCTTATAATGGCCATAAGGAGATTTGGAATATATATTACTAGTTATGTTATTTAAATGGAACTTTGTTTCCTGTTCTCAACTTTAAAGGTAATGCTACCATATTATCAATTTACATTCCCCTTTTCTCTCTTACTCCACAAATATTTTTAAGTACTGACTTTGTATCATGCTGAGAACAAATCACTGAAGAAGTAGAACCAGATCCCTTCCTGGAGTTTTTGGTCCATTGGGACAATTTCCTACTAACAAAAACTTTAGAAACCCAGTACATAGATAATCTCCATAAATGCCTGTGTTTTCCATGTCACTATGTGTACATAAAAATTCAACAAATTCATTTTTTTGTTCAATATAAAATCAAGTAATCATTTTGAGCCTCCTCCACACTATATCAAGTTATGATTTGACTGAGTTAACCTGTTGCTTTGTGCTTGTTTGGGTTACAGTCAGTCTTAGTACATGCATATGAGGTCTTTTGTCCCTTAAGCTGTCATTGTACTCATCAGAAACCTGTAATATTTTTAGGAAGGTGGAGTGATATACACAGATTGGAAAATGGAAAGAGACGCTGAAACTGGCCGATTGATGAGTAAGTTTTGATGATTGCTCTTTTTTTTTTTTTAAAGATTTTATCTATTTGAGAGAGCGAGAGCGAGAGAGAGAGGAGAACAAGGAGGGGGGAGGAGCAGAGAGAGAGAGAGAAGCAGACACCCCCACCAAGCAGGGAGGAGCCCACAGGGAGCCTGCAGGGAGCCCAACATGGGGCTCGATCCCAGGACCCCGAGATCATGAACTGAGCCACAGACACTTAAATGACTGAGCCACCCAGGCGCCCCAAAGTTACTCCTTTTTACAAAGTGCTGAGTAACCCTGGCCTTGCTGAGGGGAGGGAAGGCACTTAACGTCGTGTGTCCGCACATACTCAAAGTGAGGGCCTCAAAGAGCAGCACTTGGGAGCCTGTTAGAAATACAGAACCTTGTTCCCTACCCCAGGCCTGCAAATCAGAATATGGATTTTTAATAAGATTCACCTGGTGATTTGTTTTCACCTCCCCCAAATTTGAGGAGTACTGATCTATTGATGCTTAAATGACTAAGATAGTTGGACAATTAAAAAACAAAAACAAAAACATGTGTTTCAATAATGCAACAACTTGGTAATTCATCTATATGAAAAATATTAATGTGAAATTATAAACTAAATTTACAATGATCTTGGCGACGTCGGAACAGAATGGAGAAGTAGCTTCAGGACCCTCCTCTCGGACTAGCAGTGTGCAGACTCTGGGCAGCTGAGCAGCGGTATGGGGACCACACCCAGCTGGGAGCAGGAATCAAAGAGTTTAGGCTCCCTAATAAGCTAAGCTCTCTGTCAAAGCTTGGAGCCCTGAGGTTCACTACAATTACAGCTGCTTACTTTAAAGCTTTGGATTTGATCATGGCATGAAAATGTACTTGAGCCACATTTCGCAATGTGGAATGACCGGAAGCACAGGAAGAGGTAGCTGCTGGGACTGCTAGCATACCTTGGAGCAGTGAGGTGGGGCAGGCAGGCTAGGTTTGCAGAAGGGAATCTGATCTTAGAATAAGTGGGCATGGGAGTGACTGAGCGGGGTCAGAGGTCAGAGATACAGCCTGCAGGGGACCGCTGCTGGGTCTCAGGTCTCCGCCTCGAACTTCACCCCCTCCCCTTCTATCTACTGAGTCTGGCTCTGCAGACTGGAGTCGGCCTTAGACCCAGAAAGGCGTGCTTTCTCAGCATTGCCTTCAGGGTAGCCGTATTAATCTGGAAACGGAAGCACTCCCTAGTTTTCTGACATAGAACCTCTGACCAGAAACCAAAATGTGTGTTATTGATAAGAGTGGGGCATTGAGAGAGAATTAGATGTGATCCAAGGAAAGGTCAAGGGCTTGCCGAACTGAGACTGATTTTCCACTTTCCCTTCATTTCAAATTCCAGGATTCAAAAGTTGAACTCAAAATTATACATTGGATATAATGAATTACATTCAGCTACTTTTATGTTTATTCATGTACCTGTTTATTCAATAATTCATGAGTATTAATTGTGCATGTACTGCATGCACACGGCAGCTGTCTCCACTGTTCTGCTGAGACACCCATGGAGACCCTGATGCCATGACTTGGTTACACTGGTTCTTCCTGGTCTCAGAGAGTTTCTTGGGGCCTTTACCATGGTGCTAGCTTCCTAAACTGCTTTTGAGACAGACTCTGACAAACAGGTTTAGTTATTTATTTTAATTTTTTTTCCATTTATAGAATAACCAATGATAATAAACTTAAAAACCAAGAGCTTTATGTTTGAAATTTACTAATGTTGTTTGTTCTTTTTTTTTTTTTGAGAGAGAGAGAGAGAGAGCGAACAAGAGAGCACGAGCAGGGGGTGGAGATAGGCAGAAGGAAAGGGGGAGAGAGAATCTTAAGCAGACTCCATGCCTAGCATGGAGCCCAATGTGGGACTTGACCTCAAGACCCTGAGATCATGACCTGAGCCAAAATCAAGAGCTGGACACTTAACTGACTGAGCCACCCAGGCGCCCTTTGTTCTTTCTTTCTTACTTTCATTCATTCGTCAGTTCATTATTGAGAATCTATTTTGTGCCAGGCACTGGAGGATATGAAGATGAACAAGATATTATCCTCCCCCAAAGGAGTTCCATGATTAGAAAAATCAAACACATAAACAAATGATGACATTACAGTCATTAGAGCTGTGGCTAGAAGCAAACACAAAGTGACATGGGAAACCAGGAAGGGACCAACTCTTTTGAGTTACTAAGAAAGGGCCCTACTGAAGAGAGATACATTTGAGCTGGGTCTTGAAGGGTGGATTGTAATTTTCCAATTGGAGAAAGATGTGCCAGATAGAAGGAATAATAAATGCAAAAACATCGAAGCCCAAAAGAGCAGTGGACAATTAAGAAACAGGGAGATCTCCTAGCCAAAGCATAGCAATAGAGAGGGCAGCAGGAGAGGTGTCAGGAAGGATAGCTGGGTCCAAATGGCTAAGAGCCTTGAGAGCCTACTAAGCTTTGAAACTTATCCTAGTGCCACTGGTATAATCAAAATATCACTCTGGCAGGAGAGGAGGGGCTGGATTAATTTATTGGTGAGACTTACAATGGAAGTAGGATGATCACTTGCAATAGTCTAGATGAGAGATGGAAAGGACTAAGTATAGGCATGGTAACAGGGATGTACAGCAGAGGAAATATAAGAGAGGATTAGCAGTCAACATGCCAGGATTTTGTGACCAAGGGAATATAGGTTGGTAAAGAAGAAGAGTTGCTTTTAATTTCCTGGCATTTAGTTCATTGCAAAAAAAAAAAAAAAAAAGGAGAGAAATAACTTTAACTACTTACCAAAAGGATACTTTAAAATCATCATAATACTTTAAAATACTTTAAAATCATCAGTCAAGCATTTTGTAACATGGTAAGCCAAACAACACTTATTCCCATTGGATAATGGCTGAAGTTCAGAGAAAGTCAATGTTTAGACCCTCTAAACTGTGCACTGCTTGCCCGAATTACATCCATAAACTGGCAATATTTTCCTTGAGAGCAACCAGTCTAATGTTTTTCGTAAACACCATGGAGTGTACCTGAGTAAAGATGAGGTGATTACTGGGATGCAGTCCTTCTTGATTTCCTAGGGACCCCATGTTCTTTTTTTTTTTAATAAATCTTTTTTTTTTAAAGATTTTTATTTATTTATTTGAGAGAAAGAGAGAGAATGAGAGAGAGAGAGCATGAGAGGGGGGAGGATCAGAGGGAGAAGCAGACTCCCTGCTGAGCAGGGAGTCCGATGCGGGACTCGATCCCGGGACTCCAGGATCATGACCTGAGCCGAAGGCAGTCGCTTAACCAACTGAGCCACCCAGGCGCCCGGGACCCCATGTTCTTATCAACAAGGCAGGAAGGAGAATTTCCTCTTCTAAGAAAAAGCTTCTGAAAGGCAGTACCCTAAATGAGATATATGTGATAAAGAAGGAAATCAAAATTTCCAGATGATCTAAGTGACAAGCCAAGAAATGCAGGCTGAATGATGACAATTGTCATAATTATTTCATGTACTCTACTCACAAACTGCCACATGCCATGCATCATGCATTCTTCCAAGTACTTTCCATGAATTAGCTCATTTAATCCTCATAGCAACCCTAGGGGGTAGGTACCAGCATTGCCAGGTTTTGAACCTAGACAGTCTGCACTCTTAATCACATCACTATACTGAACCCTGCATTAGATAATGATTCTGGAAACTACTTCTTTGTTTATTGTAACTTTCTCATAGCAACTTGGACTGGGGCATCTGGTACTCCATTAGTAATTTAAGGACAGCTCTATCCATTGCCAGATAGAACTAAATGTCCCTAAAAGGACAAAAGGAAGGAAAAGTTATGGGCTGAGAACATCTAACATGTTATTTTAAAGTATAAATCTTGGTGGTTGTCAATCTTGCTATCGCTGGTAATCATTACATTCTGCAGAGAGCTTCCCGACTCATGGATGGCCCTGCTCACCAGAGTGAGGTGGTGTCCAGGGAAGCCCCACTATAGGAGGTTAAAAACCAGGCTCTGAAAAACAAGAGTGCAACAAGAAGAAAGCTGCCAGTGTCCAGGGCTTTCCTGACTTCCCAGGAATCTTCCAGATTGTTTCAAGATTGCCTTAGAAGTATGTCTCCTATGCTATCTTCAAGACGGAGCTTCAGTTGGAGGAAAATAGGTCTTTTTTTTTAATCCAGGAAAGCTACATTTAAATTTTTTATTTTTACTTTTTATAAACTTTTTGAATTGTGGTAAAATATACATAAATGTGAAATGTACCATCTTAACCATTTTTAAGTGAAATGTACCATCTTAACCATTTTTAAGTGTAAATTCTGCATGCAACCCATCTCCAGGACTGTTTGATGTTGCAAAACTGAAACTCTGCACCCATTAAATACTAGCTCCCTGTTCCCCTCTACTCTCAGCATCTGGCAACCACTATTTACTTCCTATCTCTCTGAATGTGACTACTGTAGATACCTCATATAAGTGGAATCATACAGTATTTGTCTTTTTGTGATGGACTTCTTTCCCTTAACATCATATCCTCAAGTTTCACCCATGTTGTAACATATGTCTGAATTTCCTTCCTTTCAAAGGATGAATAATATGCCATTGCATGTATATATCATATTTTGTTTATTCCCTCGTCTATTGATAAACACTTGGGTTGCTTCCAAATAATGCTGCTATGAATATGGGTGGACAAATATCTCTTTGAAACTCTATGAGCTATTTGCAAGGTTTAGTAGGTGCGGTTTTTTTTTTTTTTTCAGCTTAATGTCCCATTGGGGTTCTGAGGGGGGGGGAAATCCAGCTTTTACATAGCTATCAATATGATGGGATTCACAGTAAGTTCATGGTATGAATATAAGGTAGCTGGACATTATGGTTTGGCCTAAATAGGACATATCTTTATGGCCATTTTGAGGTGGGTGTGGGCAGCAAGGAGTAGGGAGCAGCCAGCCCCGCATCCAGGTCTGGGGGAGAGGAAACCCAAGCAATGATAGGGTACACAGCCTAAAGGAAAGGAGGACCTGTAGGCTGGAGCAGAGAACTCTTGATTTTAACATCTAAACCTGCCTCCCCCTGGTCTTTCCAGTTGCAATAAATGGAAACTCCGTGGAGTCAGCTGCTCCTAGCAGAAACCTAACATTCTCAGTCCTCCTATTCAAGCCATCTGTAAGTCTTGTCATTTCCAGCTTGCAAATATTTCTTGCTCATCTACTTTTGTTCATTGTACTTTCAACCAAGCTACCAAGCTCTCTCACCAGAACTACCTCCTATGGTGTCCCCTCTTTCCTTTTACCTCTCTCTAATTCATTCTCTTCAGAGCAGTCAGAGAATCTTTAGAAATCAGTCAGATTGTCTTCTGGTCCTAAAGGACTCAGTGAAACACATCATGTGGAGAATATAATCTAAACTCCTTTCCTACAAGGCCCTGTGTGGTCTGGACCCTCCTGGTCCCCATCTGTTTCATATGTCTCATGCTGGGATTACCAGACTTCAGTCTTATTGCTTTCCTCAAATTTATAAAGGCACTAAGCATTTCTCTCTGCAGGACTTGGGGGTGCATTGTTCCCTCTGTCTGGAATACTCCTCCACATTAAAATCTTCCCACACCAAAGTGCTACTTAGGACTAAATGACTCATCTTCAGAGGACTTTTCTGACCATTCGGTCTAAATTATGGATGTGCCTCGTTACTCTTTCTTGCAATTTTTTTCCACCATAACACTTTTAACATTTTGTTATTATATACTTTGGGATTTGTTTATTGGATATTGGATATTATTTATTGAGTATCTGTCTTTTCCATTAGACTATAAGCTCCACGAGGGCAGGATCATGTTCATTTATTAACCATTGTTTACCCAGCCATTTTTAGTACCTATAGATACATATAGGCAATCCACAAATATTTTTTGACCAACCAAGTGGGTTAATGAATGCGTAAATGAATAAGAACATGAAATATTCCTTTGAGCTGGAAAAATGGCCTTGATGGAAACTCCCTAGACTTCACATAAAAAGAGGAAGAGCTGTTCCTTGACAGATTCATTTACCCCAACTGACCTCTTGTTGTCTATGCTTGGATCCCATTAATCATGACCTGTCCATCCACTGCAGTTCTGCCTATTCGTCATGCAGGAATATAAACACTATTATTAAAGATGAAGTGGCCTTTTCCATCCCAACAGCAAAGAAGCCAGTGAGCCTCTACACTATCCATGATGGATCTGTCCACACTGTTCAGAGGTCACCTTTTTACAAGGACATTATCCTCACCATTGGGGGATGGAACGTGGCCATCTGGAAAGAAGGTGTTATGGTGAGTTGCCTGAAAAATGGAGGAGTGGGTGTGTGGTCCTTTGTTACTGAGAAAGACAATGGGAACAACAGACTGTTCTGACATAACAGTGCCTTAGGGACACTTTTTAGAGAAATTACAACAGATGGCTTGGGTTCCAGCTTGTCAGCAGAACCACGGAAGCCTTTTGAAAACACAGCCATTTGCCTTTCTTCCCTGAGGGAAGGAAACAATATGTACATCTCTTGCTCTCTAAGACCTAACAGTCTTTTCTTCAAAATATGTATTGTGGGCAGTTGATTTATTTTATGTTTTTTCCTCCCCTTAAAATAAACGATGGGATGCTGGTTACTATGGAGTCCAAGGAGAAGCACTGCGTCTATCAACTTCGCTTCTATACCAGGAGTACGTCCACAGGTTCAGACAGTGGGAGTAAGAAGGCTAAGGGGTTCGTTGCCAGGAGACCAGAGACATGCATGGGCCGCAGGGAAGCAGCAGCAGGGCTCTGGCAGTCAGGATTAGGAGAGGGCCTGGTTCCAGGCAAATAGAAGCTAAACTGCCAAAAACTGGGAAGACCGATAAAATCCAGTGAAGCCAGGGTGTGAGGAAATCAGCATGACAAGTCCCTTTAGTGTGCAATTTAAGATCATCAAAATCCGAAATATGTATGTGTATCTATTTCATAGCTGTAATACATATATTCTTCGAAAAAAATGATATATAATGTGTATATTTATATATATAACATTTATATGAGTATATATTCTTCGAATAAAATGAATAAAAATATACATATATTCTTCAATAAAGAATATATATATTCCTTAAATAAAGTGATAAAAATATACATATACATATATATATTCTTTGACCTAACACTTTCACTTCTGGGACTCTAACTTACACAAATACTTGTGTGAATTTAGGTACGAGTTTGTCATTGAAACAATTAGAAACTACTCAAAGTGCCCATCCACAAAAGGACTTCTACTTTATACCAATGTACTTTGGTATGTCCAATTTTCTTTTTTACAGTGAATAAGTATCAGTTTTGTTGTTAAAGAAAAAGAAAATTAGGCAAGATTGTCCATAGACTATTCAGGGGCCAAGAACAGGGTTATCCACAGAAATGGAAGGAGCTGGGCAAGGTGGGCAAGAACAGGATAAGGAGTCCATGAATCTGAGATATTCTTCGTTTCCCATAGGGAAGTTTCTTATGCATGTCTCAGAGGGTAGGAAACAGCTTCACAGTTTAGTCTCTGCAGCTATAAGTAGATAAATGAATACACCTGCTTGTCAGGTGGAGCGCGACAGTTAAGAGGAGAGCACATTCTGATCTTTTTTCTCTCTGAAAACCTCCCAAAGAGGGCAAATTACCCCATGGTGAAGAAAAGAGAAGCTGATCTTGTACTAATGCTTTGCTGGTCTAAAATCCTCTTCCAAACAATATTTGCAAGCCATTGGATGCAGTTCGCAGCTGGAATTGACTTTTTATTGGCTTTTTTTCCTGGCTGCCAGAGTTGTCTCCATTGGAAATAGACACCCAACAGCAAAATAAAGGTATAAGCAAAATTTCCTTATAATCTTTACTTACCTAACATCCACCAATCTCCAGCTTGACTGGAAGGTTTGATCTTTTCTAAAAGGCAACTAAAATAAGAAAGAAAAAAATGTTAGAAAAAATGCACAGGAAGTAAAAGAGTTGGCATTATATAAAATCCTATAAGAAAAAGAACTAAGAGTTCAGAGTGGGCATAATTGTGCTGTTCCATGATCATAGCCATCTGAGTTGTACTTAAAGAAAATCATTGTGAATACACTTCAGATAATAACAAAAGTTTTCATGTGTCCTTTTAAAATTTTGTTTAAAGACTGGACCCCTCCTTCAGTCATCCTGTGCACCAAAAAGGTATACTGCAGGCCACTGGTCCCTGACAAGGCCTGGAGTTTTCTATATTGGCCGAGAAGATGGATACATTGACATCTGGGACCTTCTGGAGAAAACTCATGAGCCAGCCCTGTCACAAAACATCTGCATAACTATGATCACCTACATCAAACCCTGGACCTTCTCTGGTGTGTTAATTCTAATTAAATGACCTAAGTTATTTTGTTTTTTGGGGGGTAACTCAGGAACATTTTGACATTCATCTGGAAAGTCTCTGATATTTTTTTCTCAAGTTTTGCCCATCCCATACTTTCTCTTCCCTTCCTTCCCCTTCCTTCTTACACTCAAACTCTGGATACAACCTGAGTTTCTCTCGTTGTTTTCTTTATCAACAATTATTTCTGAGGCATGGTTAGTATGACAAGCAGAGGCTGATTTTGAACCAACCACATGATGAAAAGCATCCTTCTCATCTTCTCCAGGTCAGACAGTGTGATCCCTAAATCTTTGGTACCTTTTGCTGCTTCTTTCCCAAATAGAGTAATTCTTGTATCTTTAATTTTTCATTACATCACAAATTTTCAATATTTTATCATTTTTCTGGCTTTTCCCTGGACAATATCAAGCAATTCTTTTCATGAGATCAAATGACTCTCTGGGGTTATTTATCTATTTAAACTTTTAACTTTTGAACTAATTATGAGGAAAAAAACATCGTATAACAAAGCAAGCAGAAATTCAAGGATGTGTCCTCGGAAAAGTAATTTATATCCTTTGTCCCAATTTCTCTGTTTTACCTAAGCACTACTTTCTATATAAACCCAGTATATTTGCCTCTTTTAAAAGAAGTTTCCCTTTGTTTCCAAGGTATGCATGCATAAAATTGTCTTTCTATCCTTTTCTCTCTCAGAAACATTACCTTTAGAAATTCAGTCTTCAGAATTTCTACAGTGTCACATTCTGGCTACCACTTAGCCTTAACGTGTCACCCAGTGTGGGTTTTTCCCCATCTTTGCTATAAAACATTGCTTTTGTATACATCCAGGGATTATGAGTCTAGGATTTAACAATTTAAACCAAACCTTCTGAAAATAAGAAAAAGAAAAGAAACCCCATACGATAAGGTAGAAAATTAAAATTCTTAAACACATTTGTGTTTTATATCCATTTTCAATGATCAAAAGAAGCGATCTGTTTTTATAATAAGAAAATGGGTTCTGGTTGTGTCTTTGAAATTCATCTGGATAATGGTATCCTTCAGCCCTTACTGAGTCTTTGGTGAAAACTGGCTTCATGATTTTTCTTTGAAAATCTTTCCCTGTGTTATCCTCACTTTCTTCTCAAGTCTGTCCAGTAGCCCAGCCACACAGATAGTCAACCTCAGCTAGGAGCCACACTCCTTACAGGAGCACCAAGAAGACAAGATTTGAGGTGGGCAGGGTGGCCGTCAAAGGCTTCAGGTCTCGACTTTCATTTCATCAACTGGAAAAAAATGATTTTTATATATCAGTTAATATTGTCCTCAGTCATGAAAGCCTGATGAAGATGCCAAGATTATCATAACCACAGCAGGTCTTTTGGGAGACCAAAAAACAAAAACACATTTCATGTTTAACCTCCAGGATGACTTTCTGTTCTTCCCCCCATTTTTTGGAACTTTCAGCTAAGCAGCAATTTATAGCCATAGCTGATTATTATGGAACACTGCATATATTGGAAATTCCTTGGACGTTAAGTCACCCCTCCACCAATGAGGTTAGTACCTTTTGGCTCTGAGAATTTATGTGACCAGATATTACTGAGGCATGTTTTAAAAGTGTGTTCAGAAATGACAGCGTTTTTGCTCTGTAAGAAAACAAAAGAATCACACAATCCCAAATAAGGGATGTATTTCTGTTGTATAAGTTAAATAACTTGAAACCTCAGAAAAACAAATGTGATGAGAGAGAGGGCAAGTAAATGAAGCCCAGATTCAGAAAAGAATTGATTTGGGTATTCATAAAACGTTATTTTCAGACTGTCGAAGGACGGGACTCCTATTTCAGTGATGCCCTTCCCGGAGGCCCAGTTGACATTTTGATACATTTCTCCATTGCCCACCTCCACCCCGTCTTCTCCCAAGTTGGTGTACTGTAGGCAGCATGGCTGAGGGGGCAATTTTCTGCCCTTCCATAGGCACCACCCGCCAGTTTTAAGTAATAGTAATAATGAGGTGATAAAAAGAAAATCAATGAATAGAAATAAGTAACCAACATTATATATATAGATTGCAATCTGCCACAAGTCCCAACATCAGCCTACTTACTGGCAAGCAGAAAGCTTTCCATCCCCTGGCTGCTTTGCCCAAGGTTTCTGCTGACTTTGCTGCTTCTGTTCTTCTGTGCACACACCAAGTCCTCCAGGGAACTCAGCTTCCCTTCCTGTCCCTTTGGGGTTTACGCTGAGCTCCTCATCTGGGTTTTCCAAGTTTGGTTGATGATATGATACTTTCCTCAGGCTTAGAAGTGAGAAACAAGGAAAGGGAAAAAAGCCATCCCTGAGTATTTCTTTTACAAAACTGTAATTTTTTGCTGTTCTCTTCTTCCAGCCCCATTCCCTTCGTGGAATCCTCCAATTTGCAGGGCCCTGAACCTTAGCACAGTAGCCCCCACCCTGAGCTAGCTCCTCTAGTAGTGGGCCTGTGGGTGGTATCCCAAAGCAAGTAAGCCAGCTAATGAATTACAAGCAGCAGGAATTCTTCTAGAGCCTTGTGAAGAATACGAGGGCTTCCACGTGGGCACCCCTCTCATGGGCCTGTGCTTCTAACAGGTATCAAGCATGAATCACTACTTTGAAAGAGAAGTCAAGCATCTGGAATATATAGAGGAACGAAAGAAAATTCGTGAACAAGAAAAGAAGGAAATGGAGCTGGAACTTGAGAAGACAAAAGTTGTAAGTGAAATTTCAGAAACAAAAGCCGTTGCCTTCCTCTAACCCCAGTGGAAATATGTATATTTGGCTTATTCCACAGTTTCAATAGGAAAATTATGCCTTTTCACATTCTTCTCTCTTTCTCATGACAGTCAAGAGGGTATTTCTCTCATTTCCTAGATTACCATGAGTGACAACTATCAATTGGACACCTATCTAGATTCTATCCAACTTAACTTTCTAAAGTTTTCCATAATTTCAAAGTCCTTTAGATACAAAGGCATCTGAATATCATTCATAGATACAACAATTCAAAATCTGGAATCTTTCATTGCATAGAATTTTAACATCCAGTGAATAATACCTTAAAACATGTAGTGCATGGGGCACCTGGCTGACTCCGTCCACAGAGCATCTGACTCCTGATCTCGGAGAAGTGAGTTTGAACTCCACATTAGGTGTAGAAATTACTTAAAAATTTTTTGTTTAAAGAAAAACAGGTAGTCCAAAAAGAGTGGAATATAGAATGAAGACACATGGGCTCAAATCCCAACTCCACCCACCACTACTAGCTACGAGATCTGGAGCAGGGCTTATGTCACTGCTGAGCTTCAGTTCTTGTCTTTAAAATGGGAATCCAGGGGCACCTGGGTGGCTTAGTCATTAAGTGTCTGCCTTCGGATCAGGTCATGATCCCAGGGTCCTGGGATGGAGCCCCACATCGGGCTCCATGCTCAGCGGGAAGCCTACTTCTCCCTCTCCCACTCCCCTTGCTTGTGTTCCCTCTCTCACTGTATCTCTCCCTGTCAAATAAATAAATAAAATCTTTATAAATAAATAAATAAATAAATAAATAAATAAATAAATAAATAAATAAAATGGGAATACTGATAACTACCTTTTAGGATTAGGCTTTTCAGTTCAGTAACCCGACAAATAGTAGACTTTTAGTAAATGGGAACCAGTATACAGACAAATGGATAGGAACTTTACTATAATATAATATATGGGAACTATAAAATTTGAGATAGAGGAGAATTTGGTAGAGGACACATCTTTCTCCCAGAAAGGAACCTAAAGCTCTGAAGGCCCTCACCTTTCTGTTTCCCAGCTTCTGTCACTGTTGGTCTTCCCTTGCCCACTGGGATTGGGACCTTTGGATATTCTGTGAATTTAGTTCTCTCTCTCTCAGCAGAGGCCCCTCAGTCCACATTTCTACTTCTCTCTTGCTCATTCCCTTCCTAGGCTTTTTGTCACCAGCAATTTCACCACTGATCCCATTTATAGATTCTTTTTTTTTTTTTTAAGATTTTATTTATTTGACACAGAGAGAGACAGCGAGAGCAGGAACACAAGCAGGGGGAGTGGGAGAGGGAGAAGCAGGCTTCCTGCGGAGCAGGGAGCCCGATGTGGGACTCCATCCCAGGACCCTGGGATCATGACCTGAGCCGAAGGCAGACGCTTAATGACTGAGCCACTCAGGCGCCCTATAGATTCTTTATAGGCAAATATATAACCTCCTCCAGCACAATTATTCATGTGAGAGCATGAGCATGTGGAATTCTTAATGTTAACATTATCACTTATTGATAGATATGTATCAGTGTAATAAAAGCAGAAGGCCTCATTTCAAAAGGATTGTTTAGTGGTGGCAAGGTATAAAAGAATACCAATCAATTAACTTTTCATCATTTTCCCTGCTATAAAAGATTTGGTCTCGGTCTGTTCTTTTGCATACTCACAAACACTGGTTGAAATTCTGTGGTGTGAGACAACCGGACACCCTTCCTTTATGCCCACAATTACCCATGATTATTGTGAGTGATTAAATACCACAGTGACAGCTCCTAATCATCCACATCAGCTGGAAGCCAGTAGACCTGTGGAAAATCCAAAAATAATTTGCATATGAAATACTTTTAAAACACCTGAATATTATAATAATCATATCTTGAAATTGTATCATGTGTTTGAGTTTCCAAAACATCTCCAGCTTCTTCCTGTAGCTTCATTTCCATGTAATATAGTACCCTCTTTTTTTTTTTTAAAGATTTTTTTATTTTTTTAGTTGAGAGAGAGAGAGAGAGAAAGCTCGAGCAGGGGGAGGGGGATAGGGAGAAGCAGGCTCCCCGCTGAGGAGGGAGCCCCCACATGGGGCTTGATCCTAGGACCCCCGGGATCATGACCTGAGCCAAAGGCAGATGCTTAACAACTGAGCCACCCAGGCGCCCCGACATAGTACCCTCTTTAAAGTAGAGCTACTACTTCTCCCATTTTCTCTGGAACTAGATTGGAGATAAACGAATGGACTTAAATGGGCTCCTCTGTTACATTTAGAACATGGAAGGTGTCACCAAGGAAAAACAAGTAATGTCAGTGAGAAATACGTTCTAACGAGCAACCGCTGATAACAGGGAAAATGGGAACAGCTGTAACAACCTCAGGGGACTGTAGAGGAGATTAAATGAGTTAAAATATTTACAGCACTTAGCCAGTAAGCGGCACATAGAAAATGGTAGGAAGCGTCTACTGTTGTGATTACAGAAGGCAGGGGGAGATCACACATCCATCCAGCATGGCTGGTCTTGACAGGTGCCCTGCCGTTGCCAGGGATGAGGCTGTACATGTCAACCCACAAATCCGAAGGAAACCGTACACCCATCTCTTTGCAAGCACTGAGTCTGGGTACAGCTCACTTCTTGAAAAATAATAGTAATTACAGCTCTAACAGCACATGAAATGGGAGTTTTTCTAACTGGAATTTCAGCTGGAGACCCAAAGCTAGAAAAAGTAGCAGTTTCCGTGTGACCCATAAGCTGCTGTGCCATCTAAATAGGACTTAGTAAAGGAAGGAATTCAAAAGAATTCTGTAAGCTCTAGGCAATTATCCACACTTCAGGCTACAGGAGGGGGACAAGAATCACGGGAAAAAAGGAAGACTAGAAGAGGGGATTTTTTTTGAGAAAGAGGTGTCAAAGAGCCATGTATTCCCCACTTCCCAGTTCTGCAAAACCAGACTCCATGAGGAGACCTTCAAGGGACCACTGCTAGAAAAGGGTTGCTGGCCAGGATGGACATCTGGCCTCTTCACGTCTGGCAGGAGGCTTCCCAAGCCACAGAGACCTGCACACCCTTCTCCACTCTCTCTCTGCCACCGCCCTTCAGGGCCAGCTGCCACTCTCCCTCACTGTGCCAGAGATGCCCTCCTGCCCTCTGCCCTCCCGCAAAACCCTCCCAGAGGGCAGTGGCTAGGCCAACTGCTCAAAACCAGCCCCTTCCTTTCTTTGGTATTTCTAGCTGTCAGTGCTTTATTGGGATGATTTGGCTTTTCCCCCCTAGAAAACGTATCAGAAGTCAAAGGAACAGTTGGAGGCTGAATTGAAAATGGACTATGAGAGTTACTTAGAACTGGAAAAGAACACCCTCATCAACCTTGGCTTCATCAAAGTGAAAGAGACGATGTCATTCATGGACTTGTAGAAAAGCTTTCTACAAGGGTGTTTTGGGGATTTTGTAGGACTTTCTTTTCTTTTTATTCATCATTTTTTATGTAAGGTGAACTAGCAAACTAAACATTAAATGGGTTTACTTATAAATAGTAGCCTTTTATGTCACTGCTATTAAAAATTGTTTTATAACAATAAGATCTGTTTTGATTTTTGGATTGAATGTGTACTGAAATTTGTACTGAATATGAAAGTTACCAATAACGGAATTTTCATTTTCCTATAGTAATCCCTTCACCCCCCTGTCCTTGATGTCTACTTAGAGCCCCTAATCCCAGAGAGAAGTGGAAATCAAACTTTGTTCCCAATTACCAGGTTGCTTTTGGTTGCCCCTCCAAACAGCGCTCCCACCCCCTGGGGCCTCTGCACAGATTGTAGTGCTATGTGTTCAATACCGTAGTAGCAAATTGAATCCAGGAATATATGTATAAAGAAAGGATAATACATAAAGATCATGTTGGGTTTACCCAGGGAATACAAGGTTAACTTAACTGTAGAAAATAAATCAATGACTGATTAAAGGAGAGAATTTATGCTACCAAACGGATGCAAAAAAGCAGTGATAAAATTCGACATCTGTTCATGATAAAACAACAATAAATTTTTATCAATTACAAAAAGAAGGGAACTTCCTTCCTGTGATGTGGGGTATCTAAAACAATCCTACAATAACATCATACTTAATGGTGAAAAATTGAAAGCTTTCTTCTGAGATGTGGAACAACACAGTTCCCCCCAACATGTCTTCTAGTCAATGTTGTACTGGGGGGGTTAACCAATGTGGGCACAGAAAGGAAAGAGCATGTGAAACAGTTGCCAAGGAGCTTGGTGTGTCTCAACCAGAGGTTCAACGTCACAGGAAAGTGACTGGCATGGGAGTTGGGGTTGCAGGGAGAGTGGCAGGAGATGAGACTGGAACCGTAGCTTGGAGCCAGATTGTGAAGGCTCCAGGAAGCCAAGCTAAAAAAGCTGGATTAGAGTTTGCAGATAATGGGGAATTAATAGAAGGGCTAAGCAGGAAGGTGACACAAGCAGCTTTATTTTTAGGAGGATAAGGGATGGATTGGAGTCGGAAGAGTCCGAAGGCAGGAAATCCTATTAGGAGGCAGTACTAGTCGTTCAAGTCAAGAGATTAACACACGCTGTACTGAAGCTTAATGTGAAAATAAACATGAAAGGCTGGTTGGATGGGGAATGCAAGACAAAGGGTGATGCCAAGGTTTATAAGTTAAGTTGCTGGAGGACATTAAACTCCGTTATTTACCTCAAAAGTCAGGTAGGTAGTAGCACTTACCAACTGTGTGCCTTTGGACAGATGACTTACCCTGTGAAATAGATTCCTCTACTATCCCATCAGTTGAGAGTATTTACCTTGCAACATTCTACAAGGGGTAAATGAGCACCTGCGTCTAAGGAGGCAGCGCCCCACATATATTAGTATCATCGTTATTGGATTGTCCCAGCACTCAACCTTGCACTGGAACAAACTTTCCTTCCTGCCTTTCCTTCCTTCCTTCCTTTCTTTCCTTTCCTTTCCTTCCTTTCTTTCCTTTCCTTCTTTCCCTTCCTTCCCTCCCTTCCTTATTTCCTTCTTTCTTTTTCTTTCTCCTTCCTTCTTTCATTCTTTCCTCCCTCCATCCATCCTTTCTTTCCCTTTCTTTTCTATTCTTTCTTTCCTTCTTTCTTTCTCTCTCTCTCTTTCCCCACACTTATGGCTTATGTAAATACATACAGTCTCATAGCTTTAAATACTACATATATCCCTAGCATGAACTTCTCCTACAAAATCAAGAGCTGTACATCCATTTGACGGCTTAATATCTCCACTTGGATATATGGTAGGCATCTCAAATTTAAACATATCCAAAACTGAGTGCCTGGATTTCCCTCCAAACCCATTCTCACTGCAGTCCTCCCAATCACCTTGCTTTCAGTTAGTTGCTCAGGCAAAAACCTGATGTGATCCATCATTTGTCTCTTTCTTTCACAATCCATACCCTCTCTGTGAGCAAATCCTGTTGACTACAGCTTCAAAATACATCCAGGACCTGATCACTTCTCTCCTTCCTCACTGCTACCGCCTTAGTCCAAGCTACCACCATCACCAGCTTGGACTCTTGCAGTAGCCTCCTAATTGTTCTCTGGGCTTCCGCCTGGCCCCCTTCAGTCTCTCTCTCAGCAGCAGCCAGACAGTACTTTTATATTTTTTTAAATACTTTATTTAGAGACAGGGGGAGGGGCAGAGGGAGAGGAAGAATCTCAAGCAGACGCCATGCTGAGCACAGAGCCTCATGCAGGGCTCAATCTCACAACCCTAAGATCATGACCTGAGCTGAAATCCAGAATCCCACGCTCAACCAACTGAGCCACCCAGGTGCCCCCAGACAATGCTTTTAAATGGAAGGCAGAGGCTATCCTCCTCAGAGCTCCTCCTTGGCTTCCCAGCTCACTCAGAGTATGAGCCAAAAACTTTACTGGGACCTGCAAGCCCTCATGTGATCAGGCTGTCATTGTCACTCTGGTTTCATATCTCTCTCCTCCCCCACATCACGCCACCTCAGTCATGTCAGCCTCTTGCAATTCACCAAACATACCAGGCATATTCCTGTCCCAGGACATTTGTGTTTGCTATTCTGCACTTTGTCCAGTAACTTTCCCTATTTTGTCTTCATGTATTCCCCCAAAGGAAAAAAAAAAAAGTTTTGAGTGCCTACACTCTGCCTGGCTCTACAATTTTAAACAGGGTGTTCAGGGTTGGTGTTACCGGGAAGGCGACATTTGAGCAAAGACCTGAAGAGGGTGACCTGTAGTCAGTCTCCTAGGAGAAGCATTTTCATAACTCAGTCTTCCGTTCCCACCTCAACAGACTTCTGCTTAGGTCTCCTGGACAGAACTGCATTGTGTGGACACCTCTTAGTGCAGAAGCAGCTGGGACCATGGAGAACAGGAATGTCATGATTGCGTGACAGAAGCCATCACCTGGGGCTGGCTCATTGTTGTCTCAAACAAAAGCAGGGTTCTCTTAGCATAGAAGAAGGGAGTAATGGATGTTGGTTATCAAATAAAGAGCTTAGTATCGTGCCTGGCATTTGGCAAGCAGTAAATTTTGGCTTCTATGTTACCTAATTTACAAATACAACACAATTTTAATATTCTTGCTGTAGAAACTAAACATGGGGTTCCTCTGCCTTATGAGAGCAGTTATTATCAGTTCAGTATGATATTTGTATCGTGTATTTATAATCTTAGTTTTCCTCATCATCTCACCAGCCTATGGCCACCAGTGGGGTCACATAAACAGCCACAGCCCAAGTTTCATGGGATCTTGGCCCACCTGCTTATCTGGTATCTCATCCTTCTGCAAAGCACCCCCAAGTGTGTCCTGTTGCTCCTGGGATGAAGGTTGACTCACATATGTTTAAAAACAAGCCTACAGGGCGCCTGGGTGGCTCAATCATTAAGCGTCTGCCTTCGGCTCAGGTCGTGATCCCAGGGTCCTGGGATCGAGCCCCGCATCGGGCTCCCTGCTCTGCGGGAAGCCTGCTTCTCCCTCCCCCACTCCCCCTGCTTGTGTTCCCTCTCTCGCTGTGTCTCTCTCTGTCAAATAAATAAATAAAATCTTTAAAAAAAAAAAAAAAAAACAAGCCTACAACCATCAGGCCCTCGAGGCTCCTTTCTCTCAATATGCTAGAGCTACCTAATGGACTGTAACATGGCAGAAGGTGCTGGGACAATGCCTTTGTGTCAGTTTAGGTTCCGCATGAAGCTAACGCCAAGGCAACACTAGATGTACTAGAGATTTATTGGGAGAGAGAGCAGAAGAAGCCAGGGAGGGCCTTTAGACCTCAGTGCAATTCTGGTGCGTATGGAAGGAGAGAGGGAAGGAAAAAGGTTGGGGTGGGATGATTCAGACCACTCAGAATGCTCACCTTTCTTGGACCCCAAGGCTTTGGAGCTCAGGCAAATGCACTGCGCTGCTTCCCCCTTCTCTGGGATGAGTTCTCTCTGAGGCTCTTCAACTCACACTGGGAGACTCCAGCTGAGAAGCTGACTTCCAATAATGGAAGATGGGGGAATACTGGGCATGAACGAAAATGGAGTCAGCTGGTGTGCCTCCTTCCGGTTCCCATAGCTCCAGCATTTTCTCCCACTGCCCATTCCTTCCCAGCTGCCCCGTGGGCCAATTCAGGCTTCTTTTTCTTCCCTTCAGTCTTTTGATCTGGCATGTAGTGAAAAGAAAGAGGGCTTTGGGATCCAGGCAGACCTGAGTCTGAATCCCAGCTTCATCCCCTTGGGTAAGCCATACTGTCTCCTAGGTCTTAGTTACACCATCTGTATATTGGGGATGATAATTATACCTACCTCACCCGAAGGTAATGCATGTAAAATACGTGGCACTTAGTGGATGCTTAGTAAGTTTTGCCTTCTTGCTTAGCCTCAGGTACTCGCCCCCCACTCCCGGCAACCCACACACACCCCAGAGAAAATATAGTGTTTCCTCTTTGTTCTATGTAATAATCTCTGATTTTAACATTTTTGTTATTATTATCAATAATGCGAATGTCTCTCTCAAATATGACTTAAGCAGTGGCTCTGCACACCTAGTTTAACTTTAGCCTTGATCATTTTAATATGAGACCAGATATGTTGGCCCTAGCATTTAAAATTTAAAGAGTAGCTCTATTTTTTGCAGAACTTAAAATGCTATGGCTACCTAGAAAATTAACCATTCTAATAATACTTGATTTATTTAGGTTAAATTTAATTATCATTCAGCTTTATAAACTTTTTTTTTAACCCAACCAGAAATGTTGCATAATTCAACGAGCCTATTTTCAGGTCCTCAGATAACCATATCATCTGGGTGCACTTCAGATGAAACGGCAATTGACTCCAGTAGAGTCAATGGTGGTCAGTGGCCTGGGTACACGTCCACAGCTTCACTAATCCACGACTGTCAATGATTAACATTTCCCTGTGCCCTCTACCCCTGAGCATTGCTTGGGGTAGGCGATCTTCCACCCAGTTGCTAGGATGCCATCGCCAGGTCAGATACCATGTAACTGAGCAAGGCTCCCGGGGTGGAAATTAAATATCTCAGTGAAGGGCAAATTAAACCCTGTGTGATGAATCCACTCGTTCCATGGCTGATGAGCTATTTAAGGGTCACAGGCCATGTAAAAACAACTGCACACAATCAAAGTAGAATCCCAAACACCAAAAAACCAACCTCAAAAATGTATTGGGGGAAATGATGGTTAAAAAAAAAAAAAGTTAAGTGTAATTGCTTCCAAATGCTCTCTGTTCACAAATACGACATTAAAAATATATGCAGTGAGTAAAGTAAATAATTTAGGTTGTGTTT